ACACACACACACACACACACACACACACACACACACACACACACCTAAGTGGACCTGATTGCCTAAGTGGGCCCTGCTCCCTCTTTCCTTTCCTCCATCGCTTCTGTGCTCTCCCTTTGTTGTTCCATTTTCTACCGTGTTGGACTCTAGGGGTTCTGTGGTTTGCCTTGCTGAGTGGGGTTTTACAATTTGGGCCCCACTTGTTTGGCTTTTAATACTTACTGTAGTCAGGGGTTGCTAACCATTCAGACTTCCTTCCTCCCATTTTTCAGTTCAATGCGTCCTGATTGCTGCATGGTTGATGATGGTGATTATTAGAGATTGTCATCATCTGTCACCATGGCACCGACAAATGTGCAGCCAAGCCGGTGGCGGAGATTGATTCCTCGAAAAAATGAGTTCTGAATTTTCTTCTGATGGCCAAGTGGTTGGAGGCTGATTAGGTGTTACGCATCCCTCAGTTTTGAATCCCTCTTGTTTGCATCTCTTCCCCGTGTCATTAGGGTCATCCGTTTTGGGAACTGAGGATGACCTGGCTGTGTCGCTTCGTTTCATGAACTTTGGAACCAGCCCGCCTTCCTCAGATGAAGACTCTGGTTTATCCAGCTTCGTAGAGAATCCACAATACTTCTGCGGCATCATCAAGGAGAAAGACATGTGTGAGTGTTATTGCTGAACTTGTTTCCACTCTGATGATGTTTGATGATTCGTCACTGCATACATACTTATGCTTTTTCCTGAAATACAATGACATTTCAGTGTTTTTCACTTACTGACTCAGACACTTACATCTCCAGGACAATTACCTATAGTACACATCCTTGCACAACTGTTCTCTTTAAATATACACTTGGCACTTTAATAACATACTTGTTTTAAGATACTCTTAATGTGTTTGTTTGTTTAACACATTTTATTTTATATTTTTAAATTATGTCTTTTACTTTTATTGTCACGCACCAATCGCTAAGCCAAATTCCCTGTATGTGTATCGTACTTGGCAATAAACCGTTTCTGATTCTGATACAAACACTTTTTCAAGTGGGGTGTTTTGGTCACAGTCTGTCATTTTTTTATTATTAATGTCTGCAATATTTTGTTGTTTTTGTCTGCTAATTACAAAAAGAAGAAGATGGGTTTAATAAGGGACAATAAAGTAAACTAAAGGGGTGAGATCTTTGCCAGTTTGTTGCAAACAGAAACACATTCCACCAAGACTTTGAAACCTTTTCTGTATCTTAATGTTTAGGTGTCCAGCATGTTAAACGGCAGGACATCGTGTTGAAGTGGGAGCTGGGTGAAGGAGCGTTTGGCAAAGTCTACCTGGCAGAGTGTGCCAACCTCAGCCCCGACAGCGACAAGATGCTGGTGGCCATCAAGGTGAGTGAATGGACATCATTCTTCACCATCTCAACGGCACTTTCACTATTAAAGCTGGGGTCCGCAACATTGGAAAAAACAGGAAGAGTAAGTTACATTTTGAAAGTATCCAACTGAAAAACCCAGCCCCGTGTTGCCATTGTTTTCCAATGAAAGTAGCCAGCAGCACTAGCTCAACAAGCCGCTAAATAGCGAGAAAGTCAGCAACACAGACAGGCCGTCCCTTCAGGCCTCCTTTCAAAGCCACTCCCCCCCCCAACAAATTATCATTATGAACGTAAACAATGAACTTGGTGTTCTTAGTTCTCACAGCTGTCAAGCTATGTGGAAGTTGAGAGTGCATGCCTCTTTGGAGCAGGCAGATTGCTCAGCTCTTGGTCCACGATGAGGTTTGCTTGTAACGTTAGCATATCCAGCATCCAGTGAAAGTGACCTGCAGTCAATAAGCCTGTAAAGGACCGCTGCCGACGACAGCAGTGCCCCAAAGCTCCGCCCCCGCTGCTGCACAGAGCTCTCTGTGCTAGTTAGTTGAAAGTTTATTTATATTGAAAATGTTGCGTCTCCAAATTGCACCAAATTATACAAAGCACTCCACGGGGTCCCAAGCAATACACCCACCAAGTGAGAAGTAGATCGGATGAGCGCTTCTCGAGATATGCAAAGAACACACAGACAGAGATGTTGTGCTTTATAGTTAGATTGACTGATTGCTGTCGGGATGTAAACAAAAGCAGATTCTAAAATGCATTACCTACCCTCACTTTAAAGTGGTTTTATTCCTTCTCAACATTAAACAAAAGAGAAAAACAGGAAAAAATGCTATATTTAAGCAGCATCCAGTTACTTTTTTATCTGTATTAACTGCAACACTTTCAGTACTTAAAACAAGTCACATTTTGCAGAGTCTAGCTTGGGACCTTTGTTACACGCCCCCATCTCTCTCCCCTCTTTTCCTGTCAGCTCTCTGCTGTCCACTATCTAATAAAGGCAAAATGAATACTCAAAAAAGCTGAAACTACTCTTTAAAAATGTACTTGATACCACACCAACAAGAGTTAAAGTAAATACACTGCACTTACTCTTAAATCCTTAGTGCACTGAAATAACATCCTGCGGTTTCAGAGTGAGATGTCTTTGTGGAGGACAGCCAGGTGGTTTAATACACAGCTCATGTTACAACAGGTTAATGCAAACCACAGCGAATAAAAGCAAGAGGGTGAATCCGGCTCTGCTCGAATTTATCTTCCCATTAATCTGTGCTTTTATTGCAACACATCATCACTCATAAGCAGGGGCGTAGCAAGGCATTCTGGGCCGAGTGCGACACACAAATCCTCCCGCAGCTCTGTTAGCACTGTTGATTGCTTTTAATGCAGTTGATTTAAGAGGCCCACTTTTATTTATAAGCCCAGTAACCAGCAACTTCATGTAAATGCACCCCCTTGTGTGGTCACAGACTCTAAAGGACGCCAACGAGTCGACCCGCCAGGACTTCCAGAGGGAGGCGGAGCTGCTGACGGTGCTCCAACACCAGCACATTGTGCGATTCTACGGCGTCTGTACCGACGGAGAGCCGCTGGCCATGGTGTTCGAATACATGAGGCACGGAGACCTCAACCGATTTCTCAGGTAAGCAGACCTGCTCATGATGGTCGAGTTCAATTTCAGCACGGTTGTATTTCTTTCAACCAATCACAATCGTCTTGGGCGGCGCTGAGCACAGGATGCAGCGACGCTGCCCTTATAGAATAGATCAGGCCAGAGCCAGCAGCTAAATTGGAAATGGAGCCAACATTAAGTTTATTATTTACACTGAAGTGAAACAATAAATCGATCAATAAAAAAATCATCCTTAGCTTTTTATTAATTGCCAAAACGAGTCGATGAGTATCTAGAAGTCTTTGGCTTTTAAACTATTGGTCTGACAAAACAAACAGTTGAAATATCTTTGGCTTCAGGATGTAGACATTTTTTGCTATTTTACATCATTCATAGACCAACCAATTCATCAGTTATCAAGAAAGTAATCAGCATACAAGAATATATGAATAATGATCCCAAATTGAACTTACGGGATAATAAAGATAGCCGTCAGTGGCAGCCTGACTTACACCATGCTTTCCCTAAAAAGACCAGTTGACTAATTGTCCTTTTTGGAATCCCTCCATGAATTAATGTCTTCCTCCTTTCCCTCAACAGCTTTAGTGTCTTTGAGCAAGCAACTGTTAAAAGTCTGAATCTGTTCTCAACCACGCCAATAAGTGCCTCCGGTTATTTAACGACACTGGGAGCTGCAGTGATACTTCACTATCAGTCAAACCTGAAGTGTGCTTAAAGGTTGAACCCACTCAGCTGACCTCGGTGGACTGTGTGGCTCCAGTGGTCACTCAGCGTATCTGTGGATTATGTGTGTTTAAGTACATGAAAGAGGACGGCTGTGGAAGTGATCACTGTGTAGACTAATAGTTTGATGCTGCTGCTTTTCCTCCTAGACCTAGACCTAGAGACCTAGAGATAGTCAGTAGTTGTCTTTTGCTAAAGTGACTCAAACACAGCTTAATATCAGCCATGAATTACTTTTTCCTCCATAATTCCTCCTCCTTTTTTCCTCCACTGGCAGCTTATGTCACCTGTCTGTCACAGAAGATTTGGGGCCGCGGTGACTTTCATAGAAGAATGAGAAAGATCGTGTGGCATGCCGGGCACATCTCTTGTTTGGTGCAAATGTGATTCACAACATGTCAATGCGAAATATACTACTTACAAGATGTCCTCCCTTGATAATAGCGAATAGTGAATTGCAGGATTTCATTTGAATACTGATGGACGCAGTAAATAATCAGATTCAGCACTTATATAGACTAGACGTGATGTCTCAAGAAGAGCATCATAGCAACAACTCAAATTGTTTTGTAACGTGGTGACGGACGGGTTTTAAAATGTGTCCTTTGAATCTAATCGCAACAAGTTCAGAAACCTTCGGAGGGAGCTGAAGGAGGCACTGAGGACTGAGACTGTGTTAACCTATTAGAGCTCTCTTGGCACCTGGGAAACCATCTGACAAACCTATTAGAGCAGACACAGTTGATGCTGTCTGCCAGGTGTCCTCCACGGGAGACAGATTGGGAATGAAACACACACACACACGCGCGCGTGCACACAGTCTTTGCCTGAGATATACAGTATGTTCACCAATGGATGGAAATCGCATTTCCAGCAGACAGAATGGGAGAAACGACTGAGGGCCCCCACGATGCAGCTGCTTTCCCACCCTGCCACCTGCCTTTTAAACTAATAGTGATTGTATAGACAACTTCCTTTGTAAGGAGGGGACAAAGTGGAGAGGAGAGATATTAGGATGGATGGAGACACATCATCTGGGATTTGCTCATTTAGGCTGGAGTTGGACGTGAGAGTGGGTGTTTATGATCCACGAGAGTCAATGTGCTCCGCATCTCCGAATTGCATTATTGCAAATCAATTGTAGGCGTATTACAAGCCTTATGTTTTCTATTACCCGTCCCTGTTAAGCGGCTTTATTATGGCGTGGTCAAGCCAACCACGTCTGTAATACTCTCAAGAGTTCATGTATGTCAGAAATGTTTCAATCTGCAGATTGCATGCTGAGGTCATTGTCCTTCAGGTCACCCACGGTTGATGCCATAGTTACCAACATACTGGGAGCCCAATCTCAGCATTTCATTAATGTGAACAGCCAAAAGAGGCAGAGAAGAATAGCAGAGGCCAGCATGTCCTGTTCTTTCCAAATGGAAATATGTGTGATCGTAACGTAACCCTTTGCGCTGCGCAGCGGACGGGAGTTCAGCTCCAGTGCAGGAAGGAAAAACCATTAAGGAAAATATTCTATTCTGGCATCTACCAATCAAAAATTGATAACATTTCTTGAAACTGGCATAAAAATCGGACCACTACAAACATATCTTACCTCAAAAGTAGTTTTTAAAAAAGCAATGAAACTTCAGAAATTAGCACATTATGTACAAGCTGAGTCCTCATTAAAAACGGCTCACTCAATTATCAAGTGTTTTCTAGATTTAAGAATCTATTTTTCTACTGTTTTTCTATTGTTATAATTAAGACCAACTAGGTTTTACATGTAAATAAAAGACTATACTGCTTAGATACTGTATATATTTGTTGTTTTTTTGTAGTGACAAATGTGCCTTTAACCAACTGAGCTATAGAAAAATAAAAAAATAAAAGATATTGGCAATGTTGTGTGATTAACTTTTAATTATCTAATGCAATTAGTGCGTGACAAGACAATCCTCGTGGCAGTTTAGTGGCCGAAATGAAATTGTCAGGGTGGTAACTGATACACTCTGGGTCAACTGGTGGAAATCCAGAATGTGCAAATTTACTTTGAGAATTTAAGGACATTTTACTAATGATGCTTGTGTACTTTTACTTGAGTAGGATTGTGTAAGCAGGACCCTTAAGTGTTTATTTCCACATTGTTGTATGTGTACTTCTACTTGAGTAAAGGATCTAAATACTTCTTCTCATCTGACATGTTTCCCTGTCATCTGTCTAATAAAGCACAAAACCCCCAATTTAAATAATCTGGAAGAAAAACAGATGTGGAATCAAGCAGCTTCGATCCAAAAAGCACTCACATGTTCCTGGTGTGTCACCTGTAGAGCTCACGGCCCCGACGCTCGTATCCTGGAGGAGACCAAGATGCTCCCGCTGGGTCAGCTCACTCTGCCTCAGATGCTGCACATCGCCTCCCAGATCGCCTCGGGCATGGTCTACCTGGCATCGCTGCATTTCGTCCACCGCGACCTGGCAACCCGCAACTGTCTGGTGGGGGAGGGCATGGTGGTCAAAATCGGAGACTTTGGCATGTCCCGAGACATCTACAGCACAGATTACTATCGGGTAAGTGGCTGAAAAATATAAAGACGAGAAAGTTATCTTTTGTTTTGTCTGTCTTTAAGTATTGCTTCAGCAAAATTGTAAAAAAAACAAAAACTTTCCACTCAGCCCTAATGTTTGTGAATCATTTAGCTTTTGGTGGATTTGGGCCCATTTTTCTTGAAACTACTATGAATTGAAGCTATTACGGATGTTAAAACACTTATTGTCCATATTGTCTGCGTTATTTATAGATAGTTCAAGGCTGAATGAAAATATATAGAAGGCCATTTCCACCACTGTGGTGAAAAAAAGACCCTATGAGACATTGTAATGATCAACATTCCCAAAATACTGAGTAAGCATCCCAAAATAATGACTGACCACCTCAAAATTATATTATCATACTATTTCTAATTATATTGAGATGCTAACTCGTTATTTTGAGACATTAAATCATTATTTTAGACATACCAAGTTCTTATTTTGAGAAACGAATTCATCATTTTGAGTTTTTAGACATTAAATCATTATTTTGAGATAGTTTGTCATTATAATGACAGTGGTGTAAATGGGCTTCCATAATAAGAATCAGTTTGACATTTGCTTATAACTGTGTTACTAAAAACATTGTATTTTTGTTTGAATTCAATCAACAAAGTAAAGTGGTTAAATGTTCACCTTGAGACTTCCATTATGCAGCAACGATGAAACATTACATTTCCTCGTCTTCCTCCTAAGGTGGGCGGACGTACGATGCTGCCGATCCGCTGGATGCCCCCGGAGAGCATCATGTACAGGAAGTTCACCACGGAGAGCGACATCTGGAGCTTCGGCGTGGTCCTCTGGGAGATCTTCACCTATGGCAAACAGCCCTGGTACCAGCTGTCCAACAGTGAGGTGGGTTGGAATGAACAGTTTGTCACCAACTTTGATCTGCTTTGTTGTGGCCAGGAAACATTTGATTAGATCTTTTCTTTTATCACCAAAGGACAAACATGTCTCATTTAAAGGGTCAGTTTAAAAAAAAGACATTCTTACTCACCTTTTGTGGTGTCTCGCTAAGCAGATAGGGTTTTATTTGTCCAGTTTTTTGAGACATCTGACATCTGGAACTGTCCCAGGCACCTGCGTCTCAGACAGCAGGGGCTGGAGGCATGATGTTTGTGGGTTGTCCGTCTGTCCGTCCCATTCTTGTGAACGCGATATCTCCGGAACTCCTTTGGGGAAATTCTTCAAATCTGGCTCAATCGTCCACTTGGACTCGAGGATGCAGTGATTGGAATTTGGTGGTCAAAGGTCACTGTGACCTCTCAAAAAACACGTGTTTGGCCATAGGTCAATAATTAATATGCTAATTATTATGTTAATAATAGGATGAGATGATGATTGATGACATTTTGGACAGACGTTGAGGTAAACTGCAACTGACTGGAGGCAAACAACCTTGAGGTTCAATAATGGTCCTGATCTAGACATATCTGACCTCATACTGTTGAGAGACTCTGTTCCTATCGATTTGTTAGTAATTTCCACAGTTGCAAAGTTCCAGTCCAGTTCCATCCAGTGAAAGTCTTTATTTGAGTGTTTTCTCTCTGCTCTTTAGTCTTTCACTTCTCGGACTTAACTTGGCACCCCAAGCTCAGATTTCCTGTCAGACATCAGGATATATTTTGGTATTGGGTAATTGAATTGAACCTCCAAACCTCGAGAAATGAAACTGGAACTATCTGCCTGGCTAGTGATTAGATACTTTTTTGGTGATGTGGGTGAACTGTCCTTTTAAAGTAGACAGATGAAACTAAAAGGAATTATCTTGTGTGATTGTTTCTCTTTTAGCACTTCATAATTGTTGGATAGCATCTCACTAAGTCACCTGCAGGATTTGTTGCCGTTTTTCCCCATCACTGTACAACTGCTGTTGTACTTCTACAGCAGTAATTAAACTAGCCTCCGTAAAATCAAAACCTTTTTGTTTCTACACTTAATCTTGTACAGATTAAACAGATGGATACAACTTGTTTATTAAGTGAGCTTTAGAGGCATTGGTAGACACACTTTTTTACTTCGGTTAGTTGGTTAAGCTAACTAAGTTAGCTGAGTTTCTTTAGCTTTTTCAATGAAAAAAAAAAGTAAAAACTGTAAAGTTGAGGGTCCGACAGCTAGTAAATGAGACAAAAATAGCTGTAAAGCTCCGTAAAGCTGAGGGCAGCTACAGATTGATAACTGTCTGTATGTTCTTCACTATGAGTCACCCCTTTCACATTGTCATATTGCTAAAACATTGTCATTTGATACATAAATGGTATAAAAATAGTGATTATAGCCGTTTTAAATCTACTAAAATATGTTGAATTAGCTATATGCTGAATATGGCTGCCTGAAAGGCTTTAGTGCTTTCACACAGTTCAGAGTTACAGAACAAAACCTTTTCATTGAAGTCGTGGATACTTCAGAGCATATGTTGCTGAAATCTTTTATGGCTCTACGCTAGTAAACTAATCAATAAATTCATAGTAATTAAGGGCAGTGCAGTCTAGCCTTTTCAGCTCGAGCACCGAGAAGTGGGACTCCATTGCGACCACAGCGGTGCTATTAAAGGCCCAAACCCTCTCTCCTTTCAAGAGAAGGGTAGATCACTTTTCCCCGGCACTCAATTCTAATCTCATTGGCTCTCATTTTTGCCCAGGGCCAATGAGCTATAACCTTGTTAACCTAATCTGTCTCGGGTTCATGAGGGCCAGGTGAAATTATCATGTTGCCTAAACACGCAGTGGCGGCGATAAATCATCCCAAAATACCGACTCTGCAGTGGCGGCAGCCGCCATTTTGGGGCGTCCGCCGTGAGTCTGCGTGCCGAGCCGTGCGGCTGACTGACGGGCCATTTGGGTGTGAATTGGCTGAGCGCTGACAGGCCTCTTCTGTTCATTGGATCGGGCCAAGGTTAACAATGGGGAAGAGATTGAGTCAGTACCCCTTCAAATGGAGAGCGCAGTGAAATCCGCTCTCCCATCCTCGACAGTGATTTATTCACTGAGCAGCAAAAGCGCGTGAACTCAGCCATCGGAGCAATTAGTGTCTGAGCTGAGGGTTATTCATATTTTGGCTGCTCTCATTTATCCCAGAGGTCTCCGCTAATGGACACCTATCTGTAACCGTTTGTTGGCCAAAAAGTATTTTGTTCAGAAATATTCATCCTTGATGATCCTTTGTCTCTCTGAATTCATTTTAGCACACTGAGAATTTGCCACCATGTGGTTGACATTTTAGTTTTTTATTTTACATACAACTAGATTGATTGATATGAAATTTGGTTCCAGCGTTCATGGTCCCCAGAGGTTGAACTGCACAAACATTGATCCCCTGATCTTTGATCTAGCGCCATCATCTGGTCAAAGTTACTGTTCGTCCAGATCTTTAGTTTGTGATTAAATACCTGCAAAACGAATGACATTCCCATCAGCCTCAGCTGTACTTCTGTAAATCTATATTGTTTGTGAGTTAATCGCCGGAGCGCTGAGATATGAAGTTGAACTGACACATTACTGTACATCCTGTTAATATAACATTATGTTTGAACAGGCCATCGAATGCATCACGCAGGGACGGGAACTGGAAAGGCCACGCACCTGCCCGAAGGACGTGTACATGCTGATGCAGGGCTGCTGGCAGAGAGAGCCCCAGCAGAGGATGGTCATCAAGGACATCCACAGCCGCCTGCTGGCCCTGGTCAAGAACCCGCCGGTTTACCTGGATATCCTGGGCTAAGGAGGCCGAGAACCAACTGGGGAGCGGAGGCAGGGGAAGGTGTTGCTTTAATTCCATTACTCTAATCAGGGCTAATTACTTTAAACAGGTTCCTTTTGGTCTGAGATAAAAAAAAATAAATGTCCCAGCTGCTGCTTTTCTAGCCTCGATGCTTGATGGACGAACCATCCGCTTTAAGTTTGGCCTCATCCCGGCTCGACCCCCGTCCCCCTTTTTTTACGGCCCCGTCCTTCTCTGGAAAACCTGTCAAATGTTTACCAAAGTGTTTCATGTTTATCTGAAGTGGGATCAGCCAGATGGAGGGACATGCATGGATAAGTGTTGAAGTAACTGTATATGGGCTTTACGTTGCTGGGAGTGCGAACCTCAGAATGATGGCTTGTCGGGGGATTTTGGCTCTGAGCTGTGGTACACTTTATACGACTCTACAGCCGACGCTTGTGTCGAAAGGCAATTAGAAAATGAAACGGATGATTACAAGAGAGGGCACTTCACATCATGAGGCAAGAGTGGAAGCCAATGTTTTCAGATTTGGGCACAGCAGACAGTCACTTGTACAGTATAGGCACTGATTTTGGATAAGTTTTGATATGGGAGGTGATCTAAAGGCTTTCAGTAAATGTATATAAGAAATCAAAGTTGTACAATCAAAACCGTAAGCTTGTTTCTGAAATCCAGTGTATCATATGAGTATTTTTCAAAAGCAAGAACAAAATGTCATACAAGTGTGTGTTTACATTTAATGCCGTCAGTTTCGCTGTCGAAATATGAACAAAGAGACGATTCCAAAGAGCAACAGTTTGACCCGTGGCCGGCCTGCGACACTCGGGAGCGGCTTTTTGTACAAATTAGCGATGTTCAACAGGCTACTGTTACCACCTTCTGAATCAAAGCACTGCAGTGAAATTCGGTAAGGGGGCAAGATGGTGGGGAGGTGACGTACTGAGATGTTTTTTTTGAGGTAACAGATGGATTTAAGTGAGTGAAACTCCAGGAGGAGAGCGACAGATGGCAGTGAAACAGAGACTGGAGGTGAGGCCACCTCCATGGGAAAAACAGAAGTATAAATTCAACCAAATTTAAAAGGATGAAAGCCTGAGTGTACGAACCGTTGTGATGACTTCAAGTGTAAATACTAAATGTACATACTCTGTATTAATGTCTAAAAAAATATATATCTTCATGTATTGTTATCCAGCACTTTGTATATTGTCTGCCCTTAAAAATAAACAAACTTGATAAAAAAAAAAATGAAATAGCTGCTGCCTGCATCCCTCGGCATTAGTCGATCCATCATTACCGTGTGCTTCAGAGCGAACAATGATTTTGTGCCGCAGTCTGTTCTTAAAGTTAGACATCTTAACAGTGCTATTCAAGAGCCTTCTATCATTTTTGACGAACTAATCAGCATCCTGCAATGTCTCGACGGGATCCTCAGCAGATGGTTATTGAAAAGGAATAATCAAGTTTCACATTGCCTTACCGCCGGGCCCTCCAGCAAACAAACACCAACCAAACCCTTCTCTCTACCTCACACTACCACCCCCCCCCCCCCCACATCGCCACCCTCCCTCCAACACTCTGTATGCAGAGCGTCTCCTGGGAGTGGTAATGGATTGTGAGTAATGCTATCATCCCTTTCTCTGTCTCTCTCTCTCTCTCTCTCTACCTCCTCTGGTGTACCGGGCGGATGAAAACACTTGGAGGACTCGTGTCTGGCTTATTGTTTCTTCTAGTGTCTACAAGCAGATTCTGGGCCAGATAGGATTAGTACACTCTGTAGTGTTTGTCTCTGTTATTCTTAAGGGCTCCATTTGTGGTTTCAGAATGAACCCTTTTTAATAAGCACTCGAGTCTCCAGCCTGGCTAGATATGGGATATGACTATAATAAGAGCTGGAAATGAGTATAATGCTTGTATGCAGGATATTGATTTTTTTTTATGGTAATTATTTCTTCTATGACAATGCCAGTGCAGATTAATTTAGCTAATAATAGACCACTCTGTATGCTTTACTATAAACCCCGTAAGGCATTAAAGACAGTTACAGAGTAGGCAGAGAACTCCTGCACAAAATGCTGAAAGTATTTTAGCAAAAATACCGATCTTTACAACCTGATAAGAGAAAACAGAAGCAACAATGAATCAAGTTTAACGGTTCACACCAAAATCAAAAATACATATTTCTTCTCTTATCTATATACTGCTACTTATTAATACAGATTGTTCTGGTGTGAGTTGCCTAGTTTTGGAGGGATCGGCTGTAGAAATGTCGGCCTTCTCCTGAATATAATAGGACTATATGGCACTCGGTTTGTGGTGCTCAAAGCGGCAAAAAAATGAAAACAGCAATGTCTCTTTCCAAAGATCATGACCCGGTTACTCAGAATAATCCTCAGACCTGAGCAGTTTCATGTAGGAACTATGGTTTAAAGAAAACAGTTCTTACTAATACTGGAACTGCATTTAAAAAAGTCCTTTCATCCACAAGGCTTCCTGCATCCTAAAGCTTTAAGGGAAGTAAGAGATGAGTTCACATCAGCTCTTTTTGTAACATTTTGGAGATTGAAATCGAGTCTTTTTCTGCAGTGACATGCCTTATTTTTTGTTTTAACTGAGGATGTTCATTCTTTACCTCAAACAGAAGCATCTTCAATGGGGACAAGTGGAAGAATCTCACAGTTTAAGAAAAAAGGCTGAATATTGGACTAAATTTTTTGTTACACTGACCATTTCTGCAGTTAGATTTTTTACCCGACTTGGGTTTCCTGCAGATAAATCTTTGGGGATTCACACACCTTTGCGACACTGCAGCCTATTTTTTGGGGGGGAAATAAAAACTGCTCAGCAGACACGCTCTTATTGTTGTGTTCTGCCCTCTGCTGGTCACCCACACACACTGCTCAGACTCAGGCTCAGGTTAAAATGAAGGATTTGCAAAACAAAAACAATACATTTGCCCCTTTTTTTTTTTTTAACCAAATTATAATTTTGAGAATATATTTTAGTATTTTGCATGGTTGTAGATATCTACGTGAGGACAAGTTGCATATCTGTGTTGTATACAAGTATACAAAAGTAAAGCTGAACCGAATAATCAATGGTAAGAAAATGTATTTTATTTTTATTTATTATATTTTGATAGGGGAATCATTTGTTTTGGTCATTTTTTCTTTGTCATACACAATATTGAATTGAATATCTTTGTGTTTTGGAGTGTTGGTCGGACAATAAAAGACATTTGAGGACACCACCTTAAGTAGGCTACATGGTACAAATGTAAAAAAGCATCCAGTCTGTTTAAGACAATTATTCCAGTGACAATCGTTAAACTCATAAAAGGTTTAATTTATTGCACAAGTCTAGTAGAACAAAGTAGCAAATTACAAATTATTCACAGCAAAGAACAAATAAGTATTTATACATTTTAAGAGTAGTTTGTTGCCTCGTACAAAAATAAAGGTTGTATAAAATGTTTTTTTTTTTTGTTAAAAGGCACCAATGAATCTTTCAAATCCCGTTTTGAATTCTTGTTGCATCAAATGTTTCATCCCGCACTCATCTTTGCTCTCCATTCCACGTTTTCAAACATCCTTCAATACGCTGAATTCTTCTCTTTTATGTTGTCAGAAGAAAAGTGCCCGGTGTTCCTGATCATTTAAACCTGAATCTGCTCGTCCACTGAGGAGTAAACCAACGAGGTTTACATGACAAGTAGCCTTTAACAGTGAACTGGTCTGGAGAATTTCTGGGCTTGGAATTGATCATTTGGTCAAAAATAAATGTAAAAAATGCAACTCAGTAAGGCGTCATCAGCATCGACCTATTTGATGTGGAGGCCTTCATGACCGTCAAACTGCTGAGAAACAGTGCAGGCACCAGACGGCTGAGGATGAGAGAGATGACGGCGAAATAAAACAAACGACAACAACAACAACTCAGAAATAAAAGAGTTCCAACTAGTTTGGGTCGATAGCAAAGAACCACAATAGGAGCCAGTAATGATGAAATTCCAAGAACCAACAGGGTCAAACCGAGGACCGCTGTAAGATGATGACCGGAGAGAAAATAAAAATCGATCAACGCTCGGTAGGGGTAAAACAGAAAGAGAGTCGGTGGAAACCACATTGAGGACAAATACTACTCCGTTTTGTCTGATACTTTTATACTCTGCACACTAACCTTGAAAACAAATCCTCTGTTCTAATACAACAGTGTGCGCTTTGTGATTCTACACATTCACTCTGCCTCCGACCTTCCTACTTCAGCGTCCAACATGGACCTGTGGCACACCGCATTCCCATAATAGCACATGCATTTACCCCTCTTATACCTCTTATACCAAAAAGACCTTTGTGTGTGAGTGTGTGTCGAGCGCCTCCTGTGGGTTGTGTGTTCGAACTACTGGTGTTAATGGTGGAATTAAGAGTAAATGTGTGCAAAACATGCTTTAAAAGCGATTTTATACAAATGAGCCTTCCAAACAGTTTGTCAAGTAAAATGAGCATTGTTGGAATCTGTGCCTGCAGTATGTTAGAGCTACAACACACATGTCCTGTCTCCCATTCAAACCTATTAAACAATACTTCTTTGCCCGTCTCTGAAGCATCGGCTGTATATACAGTAGGCTACCGATATGACCGCTATGATGAGCTAATTAACGAATTTCTAATTTATGCATCTTATCAAGTCATTTGTGTCCATTATCGAGTCTGTAGAATGTTTATATTCTTAAAACAAGTGGAAAAATCTGAGATAATTTTGACCCATTTTTCATAATAATATGTTGTTTCTTTCTTTATCAATTGTTTGTCGATAAACTATCTAACAAAAATAATTAAAAAAAAAAAAAAGACACTGGTATCACAATTTCCATAGTTTTTTCCAAAAAGGCCCAAAACCAAAAAATATTAAATTTATAATGATATAAAATAAGAAGCTGGAACAAATGGAGCAAATGTTTTGCATTTTGGCCTGAAAAGTTTCTCAAATGATGAAACTAATATCAAAATAGTTCAGTCAGTCAACGAATGGATTACTTAACTAAACTAATAATTTCAGCTGTGGTACCTTTTTTTTAAATTTTACAATACAAGTTGACTCAAGTTGGAAACCTACTGAAATAATCTGCCTGCACTTTTCTCACGTGTTTTAAGGACACAGAGCTCAATAACCGTCACAATAACAGTTCATTTTTAAAGAACTATAGTTACTTAATCTATTCCCAAAAAGAGAAAAACCTTCATCTTCATCCCCGTCTATGCAACTGGAAAAAAAAAAGATAAATATAACACAATTCTATGAATATGTAATCGTTATTTCCGTGGTAAATGTAGCCGATACAACAGTCTCATGGGACAAGATAACCACAGTACATGAGTGGGACTGGTTTGTAATACTATGTATGCACCACAATACTGCAACACCACAGTACTCCCGTGATATTAACACGACCCGGACTACGGCTAAACTTACTTTTAACTTAAAACTCTTCAGTAATAAACCACAGGTGTTGGAAAATTAACTGGAAACATTCAAAAGCTTATAAATTACAAAACACAACCACTGAGTTTAAGTGCTTTTGTCCGTGATAACTGTTCCCAACAGGTCTTATGATGCGTGACGGAAGAACAAGAGAAAATGGTGCCGTTTGCTCAGGACGCCCAAAAAAAATAATACTCAAGACCTTCAGGGGGCACGAGGCCACCATGGCGTTGTCATGGAAACAAACGGTTATTAAAAAAAACCAAAATGGTACCCGTCTTTTAATCACCGTCGCGCTGTAATATTTTTTGTCTGAGGGCAGATTGTGGGGTTCATAACAGGGCAGGCAATCAGGAAAAAAAGAAGCACGTGACCTGCAAATCAATGGCAATCCCTGCTGAGTGGAATGAATACGTGGATATACTGTATATGCTATACTGTATATGCTATACTGTATATGCTATACTGTATACCAGCTGCATTACGTTACAGAGACTTGAACGAGGGCCGTCTACGCTGAAGACAGTTTGTACGTAGAACAACCACACGAGCCAAGTAGTCCAGTGACAGAGAACATTTTCAATAAATCCTTAATGAAGTAAAAGGAGGTTCTGGCCTAGCACATGCACAATAATAAACGTCAGTTATTCCAAATATAATCCCTGCAAACTGCGACATTAGATGTTTCCAGTTTTAAACTTGCAGTGGTCCACTGTAAACATCGTACATTAAATGTGGGTCTACAATAACGCACTAGTGTTGCTACAGCATGCGTCCTTCAACCCAGAGCCTTTTTCAAAATGCCCATTGAGGAACCGTAAAAATAAATTAAACAGACATTTTGTACATGGTAGACATACGAGCTCAACGTGACATCAGAAAAGGGCTTCGATGAGAGCGACTGGGTCCTCAGCTGCTGAGCAAACACATGAACAGATGTATCAGGTGTGTTAGACAAATGCGTTAGCACTGAACAGGATCTCTAAGTCTTTACGTCTGAATGATAAAACTAGTGGCATTAATAGTCATCTCACACACACACACACACACACACACACACACACACTGAGACAGACAAACCTTTCCTTTGGAAAGTGAATGAGACATTTTGTGGCCGTTGGTGGGAAACTCGCCCTCACTGCTCCTTGTACTCGCTCTTTGACGTGCGCGGCTGGTTGGGGCCGTGGCAGGGCTTCCACAGCAGCGGGGCGCTGAAGATGCCGATGATGCCCAGGTTGAGGACGAGGCTGGCGACGAGTACGCCGATGGTCCCCAGGAAGGAGGGCATCACTCCGTGGGCCAGCAGCCACGTCCGCCGCGACGTCATGTCTGCCATCACGGCCTCCATCTGGAAGTGGGTCCCCACCACGGCGCTGACGTGGAAGAGCTGGTGGCTGTGGCCTGTGTGAGGAGAGAGGACACGACTCAGTGTAGGACATGATTGATCTAAAATTGTCTGAATCTCACCTCTGCACCGATATGTGCAAACTCTGTTTTCAAATAGAGCTGAAACAATTAGTCGATTAACCAATAAGCACATCTACAAAACATACAACCAAGGGTGGCAATTTATGAGAAACCAGCAAAAAGCTACATTTTCAAAATATACAAGTGGAAAAAATCCCGGCCCCTCCCTCCAGCCCCTCCCCCAAAACACATGAGCATTCAGTCCACGAGAGAGCGTTGGGGAGATATTTTGATCATCCTTTTTGTAATTTTTCAAGTAAAAATGCCGTCATTACCTTTCTCTGTTTTCAAAAATGTGAGGATTTGATGCTTTTCTTTGTGATTTATAAAGTAAACGGAATCTCTTTGGGTTTTAGACTGTTGGTCAAACTAAACAAGCTATTTAAATATATATCACCTGGCCATAATAACATCATTATTATGACAAATTATAAGAGCTTTAAAAAATGCAACAGAAGGCACATAGTGTAGAATGGTCAGATCACCAACAACATTAAACTATCCATTGCAGATCAAACCATTAATAATTCATTCATTCGTTGATTTAATTATTCAAATTATGCAAAAGACAGCAGATATAAAAGATAGAGCCCCATGCTGACCGTAAAGCTGCTCTAACTTAACAGCTGGGAGCACATTGTTAACAGCACGTGGTGCTCAGTATATAATTGGATGTTTTATTCCTTTATACGCCTGCTCTTTTTCAAACTTGAAAGTCACAAAGTTGCACTCAATAACTCCTGGGAACTGCTGAGTAAAAGTGTTCTCTGGGGATGAATCCTCTTACACACTTTCCTACAATGTACTTGTCATTATTTCCTCAGTGAGGGCATTAACATTTGAAGCACTTATCAGCACGTGCTGCGCAAAGTGAAACAGGCCAGTTACATCGACCTCGAACACAATCCATGGCGGACGTACCGAAGTAGTCGAAGCGTCCCGGGGCCAGCCTCTCCGGGAAGTTGGCGGTAAACAGGAAGCAGGTGAGGAAGGCGAAGAGGAGGTGGTAACAGTGCCTGGAGAAGGCGTCGCTCGGGACGCAGGTCCCGCCGCAGCACAGAATGATCTACACGCAGAAACAGATTTCAAAGTCAAATACAATCTGAAAAGAAAAATTTCACAAATATATCAGTGTGCGTGTCCATGTGTAATATCCACATTGTTTTCATATCTGAAAGCAGACCGTGTGACGATGAGGACACTCACCCGGTAAAACAGAGGAACCGTGTCGAATATAAAAGGAAGGATAAACGCTCCGGTCCTCAGAGCTTTGCTTCTTTGTGGGAACTGCAGCTCCAGGAACCTGTGGAGACAGACGGAGGGCAGCAATCAGCTGTTTTTATTCATTTTGATCTATACATAGTAAAAAGAACACAGAAACAAAAGTACACAAACATACTAATTACCCTTCTATTCTAGAAGATTGTAATGTTAGCTTATGGACAATACTAGCTTATTGTACATATATTGGTACCATTCTCTACCTTACAATGTCAGTGTGTGTGGTGGTCACGATTATAGAATAAAAATCATCGTAAACTAAAAAATCTATACTTTTTTTTTTTCAAACTGAAACTAAATAAAACAATATCCTTTCAGAAAAACTAACCTGAAACAATACCACCAAGTTAAAATATGAATTAAAATAAAAATAACTTCACACAGTTTTCTTAGCTAAAATATATACCACGGAAATTGAACAGACTTGACACTCCAGGAGATGGCGCTATGTGGCAATTGCGTCACAGTTTAACCCTGTTGTTTTCACATGCAGTGTAGTCTTGTAGTATTAAATAACAAGAGGGTGAACTAAATATTTTTGTTTTCTTCCGAGTGTGGTCGTAAAGAGTACTCAAGTTAATTCCCAAAATAATAGATCTAAACATTATGGATATTCTTACACAGTTCTCCAACCATGTGTTTCAGCTACATACTGTCATTGACTCCTCACCACCAATCAACAGTGCAGGAGTAAACCACAGTATTAATCAATTTCATATTAGTTTTATGTTTACATAAAGATTGATCTGAGGACAAAACATGTTCTACACAGATAAATCTGCTATAAGATGCTTTAAGAGCATGTTGAGGTGCACAAGCTGAGGTCAGACTGACGCAGCAGTTCACTGTTGATCAGTGTGTAATAAAGTCAGTAAAATAATTAAATTTGTCTGTGTTTCAGTGAAGAGTTTAAGTGTCACATGATGGCGAAAATGCGGAGTTTCAATCGTGATAAGTCTTATTCAGTATTTGTCCTGACATTCGTTTTCAATCCTTGAGGCCTGATGTTCAAGAACTAATTCACGGTCAACTTCCTTGAGAACATCTGCTTGCATTTACCTAAACTCCTGACAGTTATTCCAAAACTTAAATATTGAAAAAAAAGAAGAAGAAAGTATTCTAGATCCTTGGCCAGAGGCAGAGGCGGATGCTCTGTGTGCAGCAGCCTCTCACCTGGAGTAGCAGGACATACTGGTACAGAACAGAGTGTTTCCAAGGGCGATGAGGACAAAATGCTGATGGAGCCAGCTGTTCACCAGGCACTCTGGCATGACGTAGTATCCGTAGCTTATGGCACAACCTGACAGCAAACACAGGACATTCAAACATAAATATGAGTTGATTTGATCTGAGAGCTTAACGTCATTATAGGAGGTTCTTGTTTCAACGTTCAGCTTCCTTCCTCTCCTGCATGAGCTTTTCTTTAAATTCACGTATATATCAGAGTTTATGTAGACGAAAGCATCTTTGTATAAATGCAAATGGCATATCTTTTATGAGTACTGTATTTTAATATGCAAACAAACTTATACAATCTGTTACACAAACCAACACAGCGCAAACATTCACTGCGATAATAAGAGTGAGGAGAGCATTTTATCACATATAAACTACAGTAAAAAAAAAAATGAATGAAAAGGTGTTTAATATACAATTAAAACGAAAATAAAGCTGTGCATTAAAATATTCACACTTGTCCATTTGAGTATTTAAAGCCACAACTTGTAGATTTTTGTTCTTGTGGCAGAGACAATATACGAGTGTGTTTTCTGAAACAACCACTAGGTGTCAATAAAGTTTGTAATTCCAAGCCAGGATCGGCCCTCTTCAAAGCTCCTCGGTGGACTGAAAAAGACTCTGAAGACGTGTACTTAAAGAGAAGCAGCGCAGCAGCTTCCTCCTTGCCTAGAGAGCATCTGCTGCACTGTGTGGAAAGACTTCATCAGTAATGTGTTTGTTTTGTCCGTCCTGCTGTGAGAAAACCTTCTTACAGCCCTTATCCCCGAGATGGACTTTTGAACATTTTAAACTGGGCAAATCTTGGCACTAAGAGGCTTTGTGGTAGATTAAGGATCAGTCTGCAGGGGACCACCACACCATTTGTGACGGGAACTGAAGAGGCCCTCAGTTAATGTTTGACTGCTGGTCTTATATGTAGGGATGGGTATCGTTTGGGTTTTTTCCGATACCGGTGCCTAAACGGTGCCTGAACCGATACTTAAAAAATAATTTTAAAAAAGCACAAAACGACGATTGACAACATTAAAGAAAGGCTTTTTTTTATTGCCAAGGCAACATTTTTTCTTCAAATTGAACGATATATTAACTGTTTAAAGTATACTATAAATATAAATAAATACAAAACACTTGGCTTCAAACTACAGCTTCAAACTTTTTAACTTCAAACTATGAACAATATATTAACTGTGAACAACAGTTTACAGTATACTTAAATAAATATAAATAAATACAAAACACACACACACACACACACACACACACACACACACACACTGTACACACATTACAGCTTCAAACTTCAGCAATTCTTTTGCAGAAATATGAGCATATTTGCCTTCTCTGGCAAAATACGACACCTCTCCTGACTAATTTTATTTTACCAGTTGGTGGCGCTAATGCGCCAATTTATTGTTTGCCAACCGCCACTACGCCTCAAAGAAGAACAAGAAGAAGCTTTCGCGTGCCTGTGGATGTTGTTGTTGTGCCATATTGACACCGATTTTCGGTACCCAACCATAAACCCACCCGTAAAGACAAATACAATACCGTGTAATCTGAAATGCACACACTGGTGATAGACAGGCTCGCCTTAACAATTATGTCTGAATATAAAAAGTGGAGCACAGACAAAATGAAAGGTCTTGCACGCACGTACGTACTCGCCTGCCAATAGGCAGACAAACAGTGACAGCAGATGCTGCAGGAACTGGTTTTCAAATGACCACATGTGCAACAAGTAGTGAATACTTCACAGACACTTTGTTGAAATTCCAAATTCCTCTGTAAAGGCTGATACAGTGATAGGGAAATACTGTTCATAGGAGAAATGGCTGTCGGGTCAAACACACGGTGCCCTGGGTGCAGATAAGTCATGAAACAGGAGGGAGGCAGAAAGGAGTTACTATTGCATGGGCTTTGAGAGGATATGGAAATCAGACATGGCCCGATCACATCCAGCTGACGCACACACGCACGCACACGCACGCACACGCACGCACGCACACGCACACACACACACACACAGCTGTGTTCAAAAGGCAAATACAACATATACATAAATAGGCAACAGTGCTCTGAATGTTCTGCAATGTCATTCGCCAGGTAAATAACACATTATACTTCTTTTAAAAGATGCTGTGTCAGCGTTCTGAGGAATTGATGATTACTACAAACGGCAAAATAATAATACGCCAGCTTAGAGTTTACTTCAACCTGCTGGTCTCAAGTAGTAAGGACAGTAATGTTCATAAGATATTTACTCATCAATCGACCTGCCAGTACCGTTTAGGTGTAAGAACAAAGTGTCCGCCTTCACGAGTCGGTTTAAACAAGAGGCGGAACAACCAACTTTTACATCATACAGTTACATCCTGGACATTAAGTAGTTTCCTTTTTTACATGATTTAGATGACACAATATTAGTTAGACCCGTTTTCCAAAGACAGTTGATCTCGATGTCCATTTTGGTCACAAGCAAATATTTTCCTTTGCATGTTGATTATCTCTTTCCCCTTAAAATGTAGTTAAAATGCAACAAAATGCTTTTTATCTTAACATACACAGATTTTGAAATTGGTTTGAGCAGATTTTCTCCTGGATTGTAGGCCCTGAGACATGAATGCTGACCCCCCCCCCAGACAGGAAAAAGGCTTTCGTGACATTCCAGAAAATCCCAAAGTAATAGGTGAAGAGTAGTATAGGGGAGAAAACGCATATAAGATGCTAATCCTGCACCAAAGTCCTTCAAAATAAATAAGAAAAACAAGAAAAGATTAAAGTTCAGAGTGTTTTGCACTGTAAATATAGATGTATTTTTAGGATTTCGTCATTGTGTCCGAGGACTTACCCAGACTGTAAAGGCTGATCGCTCCGTAGTCAAAGAAGTAGCAGATGTGTCGGGACTCTGGGGACATGGTGCTGAAGGTGTGCGCACAGCAGGAGGTGAAGGGGTAAATGCAGATGAGGAGCATGTGCACCAGAAGGGGCCAGGTGTAGCTGTCGGTCAGGAAGTTCATAGTGGAGCAGAGGACACATAAGCGCCACAGGAAGTACCTGCAAAACACCAGTTTGTCATTTCTTTTCAGTATGTTTATAGCAATCAACTCAAACTGCTTCTGTCCGGCTCCGTCCCACACTCGACTTTTCAGGGCTGTTGTACTTTGACTTATCGGTCGCCCTGGAATCAGTCTCCTGTTTGTTAGGATTCAGGCTTATCGGATTTTTTGGGGATCCTGCCTCAACTTTTTTTAAAATCTTGACAGGACATTTTAGCACCTGTTTATTTCCCCTCCAGCATTACAAAGGAGTTAAGGGATTACATCTCCGATAGTCAACAAAGCCCCTCATGCTTCCACTGATCCTTACACACTCTGTCAAGTTCTTACAGCTGGGATGTCATCGTGTGTCAGTTTTAGCCTTGTTTAGCTTTGCTCCAGCCTCAGCCTTCAATAAAAATCATTTGATGTCTTTTGTTGAGGGAAAAGTGTGAGTATAGGAATATGTTAGTGCTACTTGAAATAAAAAAATATATATTTTGGAACTAAGTTGCACATAAATTAATGATGAGCCGTCGTCATTGTCACATATTAGATGTTTTGGTACAACAAGCCAATAACACACCGAACAAAATAGACACATGAAAATGAACACTTGAGAAATTTAAAATAAAACAATGATGTCCAGGTTGCTGCACGCACCATGTTGGCAAGAAGTGGGTCCAGATGTTGACCGTCTCGTTGTTCATCTGGAAGCTGCTGAGGACGCAGTCCAGCGCTGAGCTCTGCGGGTGACGGTATCCAGAGATGATGCTTTCCTCCGTGAACACCTGAGGACCAAGCAGACCCCCATTACAGAACCTGAAAGTCGGACTTCCTGTCTTATCTCACTTTAGGGTGACAATTAGGATTTTTGGGTATTACAGAAACTCATTTCCTAGCTGCGGGACTAATAAAGGATTATCTTATCTTATCCCATCTTAGGACAGGAATTCAGCTATTACAGAAGCGTCCGAACTTAAGTTAGAAATCCTCAGAGAGGCATCGAGCCTTTCCTAAATTCTAAACAACAGCTAAATATTGCAGCAGCACTGTTGTTCGGTCTTTGTGACAAAGCAGCGTCTACTTGCAGCCACTCGTCACAGTTTGCAGGTCTGATTCTTAAGAACATTTATTTGTTTTGTTTGAATAACTATTAAAGCATCAAACATTTCACAAGAAAATAAATGATAGTTTAGAGAAACCCGTGTAAATTTGTAAAAATATTTCAAAAAAATTGTGGAGCAGAACTTCTAGTTGGACGTGCTAAGAAGAGAGATAAACAAAGAGGACAACAGTGGAAATATTCTCCCAAGCTGGAGGCGATCTGATAACACTGTCAATAGTCTGCCGTAGAGCATTTCAGTACCTTTAACTATGCCTCGCACACCTGCACGTCAAATAATAGTGCAATCAACTTGTGAGGGTTCTTTTTCAAAGTGTCATATTTTAAACATGAATGAGATTAAGTTCATGAAAACTAAATCTACTTCAACATACACCAACTCAAATATTTAAACTCCACAAACACAAAATCAAGGACACATTTTGTATTATTCACCATGAAACTGTTGCTTGGAAATTGTGATGTAAAAGCACTTCAACAACAACCTCTTATCCGATCAGATAAGCACAACAGCCGGGTGAACGTCTGCCAGCAGCACAGATGCTTGAACTGCAGGACTCTGATGAAGGACGGACTCTCTTTCTTCATTGAAATTGAATTAAATTAACTGAGCTCACAGCACCTTGTGTGACCCAATACCAATTTTACAATCAGTGATTGTTAGAGGATCTGCCTCAAGATGTGAGGGGAAGGTTACTTCCTGAAGTGAGAATCCCGTCACAACAGGACATTTGAGATTTACAACAGGAGAAAACAAACTGTAAGTCCGAGTACGTCGTAAGGCCTCCTTCCTTCCGTACCTTGGGGATCTGGTGGATGTCAAAGAGCTGGGGCAGCTTGATGCTGAGCATGTCTGCAGGCAGTCTGATGACATCCCTCCCTCGCTGACAAGCCTCCCAGAGCCTGGCGCGTCCCCCGCGACACAGGACAACCCAGACAGGGTAGTCAACCACCGGCATCCGGGGCCCTTGTGCTGGACCGTCAGGCTCCCATTGCAGAGAGGGTCCCCAGCCGTGGCTCCACACGCCTCTGACGCCAGTACCGACCCCGATGCCCCGCCACACCGGAAACACTGCAGAGACGAACGACAGAAACACACACAATGAGACGCACACCCCAACAGTAGTTCATGACTTTGAGATCTGCAGCAGCCCCCCATGTCACCAGCTGGTCCTGGTGATCAGGGTTTTGTTGGTTGTTCGCCGCTCCAAGTTCAAACTAAAAAAGGAGGGAACTGTGCTTTTTAAGGTTGTAGCTCCTAACATTTGGAACATCCTTTTTATTTAGACTTTGGAAGTGGAGTAAAAGGTATTATCCTTAAAGTTACTACAAGGAACTTTCATTGTGTCTTGGTTCCTGTGGATGAAAGTGGCAGAGTCTAAGAGAACCCGATTCCCTTAAGAGAACCCCTCATTTTACTGCAGCAGGGTCGGATTCTTCAGCGAGGCGTAGCTCTGCTTCTGGAGCCAGATCTGGGTCTGTCCATGGCGGGCTGGTCTCTGCCGGAGGCCCCGCTGGAGTCCGAGCTAAAAGGGGTTTCTGGTGAACCTGAATGATTTCATCTGATATGTACAGAATGCGACCCGGGCCGCACCGATGACAAGCATTAAGAAGAACTATATGGAAACATCTTCTCACTGATGGTCTCGCTCACTTATATTGGTCATATAGAAGCATCGGTGTTACATCGAGACCGTTTTATAAGCAGTTAAAAGCTCCTCACAGTAAAAAAACTTGAATCTAAGTAGCATAGTAGTATGTAAAAAATACTCCAGAAGTAAAAGTCCTGCATTGAAAAGTCCTTATTAAATACATTAACACAGCTGCAACAATTTGGATTTCTGGACCTCGTCAGGTTCATCTTTGCAACGTTGGCAAATATTATATCAGCATTAAAGTTGACACGACAAGAGTCCTCGAGTGTGGCGTCTTTGTTGACTGAAGCTGGCACGGAGAACAATCCCTTACTGTGGGCGCCCTGGAGACGTATCCACACATCAGTTTGAAGAATGCCGGCATTGCTGCCATGCGACTAAAAGGCAAGCGCGTGATAACATGTTTGAGAAGAGCGCCGATATTAAACAGTACATCCCTTCTCTGTCAACAGAAAGAGAACGTCATTAGATAAGTGTTACTGACACCACAACATGGTTTGAACTTTGTAGAACTGTAGCGTGACAACATCTGGATGTCTTTCTCTGATACGCTCAGCAGGTTGAGTGAGTAGCAGGCTGTCCCCAGGTTTTAATTACCTTTAACTATCTATAACTACATGTATATTTTTTATTATTTTAAATACCTTTTAAATGAATAACAAATTGCAGATTACAGATATGAAGGAGGTGTTTGTTTACACAATACGACAAAAACCACACTGGACAAACTTTAACATTGATGTACTCTTCTTAATTCTTATGTATTTATCTCTTCATATCACCCGTCTCCTTCTACTTTATATCATTAAACTGCAAAGATGATGTACTTGGAGGAATGTGGTGAAAATGAAGGATTGAACAAGGGGAAAAAAGAAAAGAAGCTCTGTCCGCCAGAGCTGACAAGTTTATAATAAGCTGTGAAATGGCCCGCTCAGCTCAGTACATGTATTTTGTTCACGAGTCTTCAATAAATAGATGTAAGGGGTCATGTTATGAGTTTACATTCAAACAAATATTGGCCAAATGTTTTAAATCTTAAAAAAAAAAAATCAAAAAATCCAGTATGCACAAAACAAAACGTATTCAAAACGTACATATTGGTCATCACTGGTCGAGTGATCCCAGACTTGTAAAAGTCAATTTCACCTTCTTAAAATCAACTAAGCAGATTCCTCAAACTGAAAGCCAGCGTATAACCGGACTATAACCCTTGTCGTGCTATTTCCCTGCCCGTGTCTCACCAGAGTTTAGGTTATGTTCCCCCTGACCTGAGAGGGTCTCCTGTCATTCCAGCTCAAATGTGGAAGGGCTCCTCTCTCGCGGTGCGGGAGGAACCAAAGGAGGCCGCCGCTCGCTGCGACCCAGCTGCAGGCCCCGGCCTGTTAGCGGGGACAAAGTGAGCTTTGTGGAGGCTGAAGCCTCCACAAAAAAAAGGATGACTGTTACACGCTGCGCTGGATGGAAATGAGGCAGCTCACACTCTCTCACACACACACACACACACACACAAAAACACACACACAGCATCCTGTCATGGAGAACATTCACAAATACTCGGGAGCACTGACATGCGTGCACACTGGTACAAATCCATCATTCATCACGGCTGGATAACGTCTGACCAGCACACAACACAACACAACACCGACGCACACAAGACCACAGCTTGTGTGATGATGACAATGGCAACGAAAAGCCACTGGGTTCACTGCTCATGAGAATTCAGATCCTCGGCATCGTGAGCTGCCGATGATTGCAATAGCCGATTTAAAATCTAATCTGGATGTATGTTATTGAATGGTAACATCTGTGCATGCAGAATCTATGTAGATTAGATTATAACTCTATATGACATCATGTGTATATTATGAGCAGATGTAGGGACTTTATAATTGTTTAGCTTGTGTTTGTAGTCGTTTTGAGTCTCTTCGTGGTCATTTTGAGTCTCTTTGAGGAACAAAGTCCTGGAACTCCCTACCTAATCACTTGAAAGTTGCTGCAAACTTCATTCATCCAGCAACAAACCTGTCCTCGTGTCTAGCTCTTAAATGTAATGTTTGTAATGTGAGCTTTACTGCATCTCGCTGGATCCTGTCTCACTTTTTTACCTCAGTGTTCTAATCTCATAATTAAATAAAAGCCCTTGTAGGGACAGGTGTTGAAAATGAGCATTGGCTTTAAACACTATGATACTTACATTGGACAGCTGTTTTCAGTTTGTCTATGTATATTGTATCTGTCCCTAACAAATACACCGTAAACAAATCTAGAGTGGAGTCTCTTTGTAGTCGTTTTGTGTCTCCTTGTGCAGCCTTTTGAGTAGCCAAATCATTTTGGACAGTTGACTCAATGTTTGTGGACATGAAGTAGAAAGACTCATGAGGGCATGGCCTCTCCTGTGCATGTGACATCGTGTACACAACTATTAATCCCATGCAGAAACAACATGCACACACAGAAGTGTTGACAGCACAGAAGAGTTCTGAGAGGGTGAAACTGTGCCAAACTTCAGACACAAGAGTATTTTATCAGAGCTTTAAGCTCAGGAGGACCAGAGCACAAACTTCAGCACAACATGTGGATCCTTCTATAAACAACAGGAAGTGATTGATACACGTTTGAAAAAAAACAAAAAAAAACAGACAACTTAACTTGCGTTAAGGCTCAACTGTCCACGATCCCAAGACCAAACACACAAAATAAGTCCCCATGGATTTCCAAAAACCCAAGATGTAACAGAGTGTCATACAAGCATAAGCCAAAAACATACTCCTCTTCACCCCAACTTTCTTTCTGAGGCCATGCTTCTCACTTGACGGAGTAACTGAGTCAGCCAGTAAGCCGTGTGCTCCACTTCATATTACATAAAACACATGGACTTGTGCAGAGTTAGACAGGACAAACATTTAGTCTGATACAGATCTATCAGACAGGGTTCAAAAGCTCAATTTGCCTTCCCTTTGTACAGCCTTTCTAAAACTTGGCCCGGGATAAATGCGTTCTGTTTAAGCGGTTTATTCAATCTTACATGAAGTTGACTGTGGTTTCCTGAGGATATTTGGCTGTTTGATGTTTAGCGCTCCATAACGTGTTAGCAAAGCATTTGTGTTTTCATAAAAACAGTCAAAGCAGAGCGGTTTTATTCATGATGTGATTTGGGCTCTGTCTTGACGGACATTGATGACTCTTGAATTGTTCTGACCTCTCTACGGTACGTGAGATAAGAAGAAGCCCAAACTGAAATCGTCCCTCCGCTGAACACACTCTACTTCACACTTGTTATTTTGTAAGACAATAACTGTGTGTTGACTCAATGAGACGTGCAGGAACCCTTCTGAACCTACTCAGCAGGAACGCAAATAAGCACATTTCACAAAATGTCTAATAATCTCTTTAAAGCTGAAAGTCAGCCCTTCAACCTCTTGAACCTTTTTGTATCAAAACCAGTGAACTAGAGAAGAATGAAAAACACATGTTCGTCTTAAAAGAGTGCTCCGCTGACTCAGCATTGCAGTCCTATTGTCAATGGACAGTTTTAAAAAAAATGAGGATCAAAAATCGATGGAGCAGAATCAGATTTTTTTTTAAATTTATTCCACGCATTCTTATTCCTTGTACTTCCTACGCTACCCAGAATGCAACTCAACCGCTGACAGTTCAGTCAGACGTTCGGTTCAAAGAGAGTTAACAGAGGAGACGTCGCCTCCAGACTGCTGTTGTTACCTGGGAGTTCTGCAGCGATTCTGAACGGACCCAAACAACACTTCCTTCCTTTTTCTTCTTCTCTTGACATCCCAAATTCTTTCCCCCTCACTCGTGACGTCGATCACGTGACCTTTCTCAATGGACGTCTTTATTGGCCGGAGGCTGACAATAAGAGGGCTATGCTGGAGAGCATGTTGTCCACACAGGCGGACGCATGTGCCTCGTAGTGCAGCTCAAACTACAGAGCATTCAACTGTCCTGCAGAAACACATTCAGCAGATAACTGACACACACACACGGATAACTGACACACACGGATAACTGACCGCTGCTTGGGTTCACCGATTAATGCACCATTTCAGAAACGAAAAATATATTCATTTGGACCTTGTACTCTTGAATTCGCAAGAAATAAAAATGTCATTGTGGTTATTCATAATGAATAACTGTCATCTGCTTAATGTCTGATTCACTGCAGCATTTTCCCCCAGAATCCCTTTAGGCAACCACCCACAGAACACGCCTCCACATGCTACATCAATCTGTTTGCTTTTCACACCGGTGAAGAGAGGACTAACGACTAAAGCAATTAAGAGTGATGAGAATGAAAGCAGTTCCCGCTACATAACCATGTCTCTGGCTGCGCTGCTTTGAGGCTACTGTCAGTGGAGGGATTGGTTCCTACTAACATTTTTGTTCTTATTCTTCAACATGAGTAAATAAAGAAAGTATTGCTTTTTTTATTTTGGGGAGACAAACAACAAAACCTGACGTCTGCCGACAGTTCATTAAAATATTTTTCGACATTCTATAAAATCAATCAGGGGTTTTCAAAGACCCCCCCCCCCCCCAAAACATTGCTCAATTACTGGATGCCAATGGGATCATGATTATGCTATGTCATCCCATTGGCATCCAACAATTACATATTAACAATAATATTGCTGTTTGACGTCACTTCAGACTACACCAAATACATAAGAGAAAAGGGTTGTCCAAAGTATTAGTTTCCGCATCTTGGAAAGTGTGACAAACAGTAATAATGTAAAACAAATGTTTTACTTCCATTCACTGAGCCCCCCCCACCCCACACACACACACCCAGTACACGTATAAGCAAGTTCCCTTTGGCTTGTGTGCGCCTGCTTTTTGACAAGTACAAGGAACACAGTGTCAAATAGAAACCAGTTTGTCAAGTCATTGCTGATCAAATATGAGGTCGGCTGAGTGTGTTGTGGAGACATGAGCACGTTGTACCCCACCCCCCACCTACTGCTGCATTCCTCCACTGTAGTACTGTGTAGTACCTGCACACAACTAGCAGCACAAGGATTTCTTGTCTTCCCAAATCTACTACACTTTATAAAGAAAACGACCCCATTGAACAGGTCTGGCTTCAAAGTCTGCAGCAAAAGATTATTTTATTCGTCAGTTAAATCTGGGAAATAATCTGCAGGTTAACGATCAATCTACAAAACGTCAGGATAATGTAAGAAAATGATCATCCCCATTTCCCAGAAACCAAAGTGGCATCTTAAAATGTCTTGGTTTTTTTTCCAACCAACAGTCCTTAAAAACCAAAGATATTCAGTTTACAACATAAAACAGAAAGCAGCAAATCCCCATATTGGAGAAACTGGAATTATGGAGTTTTGGGGAATTTTTTGCAAGACAAATAACTTTTAATTAATTTATTGATTATCAAAATAGTTGTTTGCTTAATCTGATAAGTGTTGCAGCTCTAGATTGAGATGAAAAAACAATGGATGCATCTCTGGAAGGTGACCAAGGTGTAAATAAAAGAGTCAAAGCACACAACACATTCCCTGACTGACGCCCTGTGTGGGCTGTAAACTAAGAAAGAGCAGCTCAAGAACAACTGCTTACAATGTGGAAACATCTACAAGTTGGGGGGATAAAACAAAAAAAAACCGGCACGTGTATTTAGCCTGGACACATCTCCAGAGCAACCATTTAGGAAAACCCCGCGAGTCACATGGCGCTACTTCTCAGAATGACACCATTGTTCATTATTAATCACGACTTCCCAGGAATTCTTTAAGCACTGTCTTTTTTTAAAACACATGTAGCAGCTCCAGAAGACAGTGAGGAGACGAACAACAGCTTCTCCTGAAAGCAAAGACACTTCGCCTCAACAGTGCCGCGATGCACCGCGAGGGGAAACATCATGTTCGCGTCTTTAGTCACACAAATACTTATTCTTTCGACTTACCACGATCCTCTGGCATGCGGAAGTTGTAGGATACCTCCCCGCGTCTGTCTCCGTAAAAACGCTAAAAGCTTATCTCGTGTGTGACAGTAGCGGCTGTCCGTCTGTCCGTCTGTCCGTCTTTCCGCTCTCTCTCTCTCCCTCTCCCTCTCTTTTGTAACCAGCTCCACAGCCTCCTTTTCCCGTTCTCGTCACGCACGAGCCAGTAAGAAGCGCTGCTCGGTGCTCACGAGGATCACTGAAGCAACATCAACACGAGCCGTGCGTGATCCACGACGCCTCCTGCGCGCGCCCCAGGTAACAATAGGAGGGGGGAGAGAATTGGAAGGATGTAAAAAATGTTAATGTGGTGGAACTGAGCAAAATCTGTGATTCAAACACTGCAATTTGAAATGCATTCTTTCATTTGTTTACTTAAAGGGTGGACATACTCTTCAAAATTGTACGAGAGTGAAAGTGCAAAAATATTTGCATCCAAAAACATACTTAACAAAAGTTAAAGGTACAATATCTGAGCTTTGGAGCGTTTTGATTGCCTCTCAACAGTACAAGAAGTTTAAGTTAAGTTATCCACACCTTATTTACCAGCTGCAACATAAAATTGAACATATTAACGTCACTAATCATAATCCAGTGATAAATTATACTTATGAATCTGTAATGGGCCATATTACAATAATAGATAGCTTACCTTTACGTTTTGTACATTAAGTCTATTTGAATGCACTTTTACTTAAAGCTACTATACAAAGAACTTTCCCTGTGGACAAAAGCGCTAGAGTTTCCAAACACCAGACTCCCTTTATACTGCAGCAGGGTCTGCTTCTGATTTCACGCGGGATCAGACCCGGTGGCACCGATGACAAACAAAAAGAATAACATGTAGAAAAAGCCAGTTAACAACCAACAGTGAGAGCAGTGATGAAAGACTACTTTTACTGAAATAAAATTAGCAATCCTCTTGGAACCATGGATGTCTGCAAAAAAAACAACTTCATGGCAATCCAGTGGAGGACAAACCAACAGACAAACATTGCCAGAGCTATGCAGCTAGCATGGCTAAAAACAAACTGTATTGAACTCATGACAGTGATGACCACAGTGATGAACTCAGTGACCAAGTCCCACTGTGGTAAAATACAGGAAGTTACTTCACATCACTCTGGGATGTCCTCAAGGTCTCATAAGTCCAAGTTGCCTTTGACTTATTTCTACTGTACCACATGACTTGGAGGAATGAGCCTGTGGGGATCCTCCTTTGTCCAAACTGTGACCAGGGAGGACATCCTGTTTTAAACTGCACAGAGAAACCATCCAGCTTGTGTCAACTCAACTTTCTGTCCCATCGTATTTCTGCAAACAAAGAGCAGTGTGACGTTAAACACCTGAGGGACACACAACCTCTCCTGTGTACAACTATTCAGCTGCTGTACCTCCAAGACTCAATATCTCGTCTGAGGAAACCAGGAAAGCATAAGCATATTTTAAAAGCTGCCTTTTCAGTTATTTATTTATAACGGTATTGTTTTAGCTTACTTAGTTTTATCTGATCATCTTCAATAGATCATTGTATTGTAAGGGACTTTGTAACTGTAAAGCTGATAATCGTGTTAATATTCATAAATCACTTGTCAGCAAACCCCATTCATATTTTTGCTCAAGTAAAAGTTAAGTACTATCAGCAAAATGTGCATAAAGTCTCAATACAAGTCCTCACAAAGCAGGAGGCTCCTCAGACTATTATTCTAATATTATTGTTAATTAATGGTTTCATTTTTTAGCAGTGCATCATATTTTATAAGCCAATCATCACCACAACAACCAGAAACTATTACTTTCAAATAAACGCAGTGTCATTTTGTCTCTGTATTGTGTGGAGTAGAAGTACTAGACAATACTTAAGTACAGTACTTAAGTCAATGCAATTTGCAACTTTTCCCATAAGTTTACATAATGTTAAGAGGAAGATAAATAAAGAAAACACAGGAAAAGAGCATGAAAGTGAATAAAAACATATATCCCCAATACAAATATTATCATATTTAAATTGTGGAGAAAGGACAAATCAAAGCTGTAAACTTGTGCAGAGCCGATGAACTGCACCAGAGCACACGAGAGGTTCGATACCCGACGACACGAGCGTGTTTATTATGTTTGAAGTGAGGAAACGTGGCTTTACGAAGGATTCGGAAGTACTATTTGGCAAAGACGCGTTCTGTTCCTATAAATGGGAGTGACTTTCGAGTAAAACCCTCCGGGGTCTCTGCACGAGCGGAAGGGAGTGAGTTTACTGAGAAAAATAGTTTTTTAGTAGAGATCGAAACACTCAGTCACGGTCGGTGTAATGACGTAAAACTGCATCCAAACACGATCGAAGCAAACACAGAAACCGGGTCTGACCTTTCAGCTTTACGCGTCCGATGGGCTCATTGTTGGCTCAGATGAAGGGATTCTGCAGCGTGGATTGGGGAGAAGTAAATTATGAGGTAACTTTCTGGGAATATAAATAATATTATAAATCCATAATTATTCCAGAGTCGGGCACTTTCCCCATCGCACCACACCGCCCCCCTCTTTTCCTCTGCACATTCCTGCAGTAACCGAATAAAAAAAACAAAAACACCACTGCATCCCCCCCAGTGTCCAAATCCCACCCTCAGGGCGGAATGAAATGCATGACCACTTCCAAGAGATTTCCCTGCATGAAAATGATTAATAAAGGTGCACATGTGGAGTCCAAACTTGTCCAAAAGACAAACGTTACTTACGAATAAACTCCAGACAGGCGAGGCATTTCCCCACCGCGAGCACAGACCCCTGCATGGACATTTCTCAGACAGATCACAGCTGCTTCTAACCACGTTATAAATCTAACCAATGGGCTTTTTGTACGTTTAAACCTTTCATCCTGTCCCAGCAGCCTCATGGGCTCACTGAAAGAGGATTGCCTTGGGTCAGTGAGGTTTCCCAACCCCCTTACCCAGCAAAAAAAAGAAAGAAAAAAAGAAAAAGGGGGCCAGCACCAGTGCCAGCCGTCTCCTGTTGGAGTGGCACTGACCCGGCTGCATGGGGATTGGTTATTTCGTGTGCCCGGTCAGTGGTGGGCATGGGGCCCGGGACAGAGAGGAACACAAGAAAGAATGGCACATGGAGACCTAGTTTGAGAGGCGGAGTCCCTAGAAAGACCAGTTGAGAGGGTTCAGGTCTCTTGAGTGTTATAAAACTCTGTGGCGTGTTGTGGCCTCCAAAATGGACTTTCTGACTTGTACTTCATTCCCCGTGTGTCGTTGAGGACGTGGTGCTTTTACAGAGGGACGGTCAAATGAAAAACAAAGAAGAAGTTATCATCTTATACGAGTTTCTTTTTATTGTTCAATGCATGGCCACACACATATACTGGTTTTCTTTTGCACTGTGCATGATGGGACAGTCACTATGGAAATGGTGATGTAGATGGGACACATTTTAGGAGTTTACAGGGGTCCAAATACAGCCCACAGTCCTCTGGGAGTCAGCCGGCCCCTCTCCTCCGAGCCTCCTCGGTGACTGGCTACAACATGGGGCTGATCAGCTTCTAGCTCCCTCTAACATGACACCTGGATAAATAAATTCTGGATTATAAATCGTTCACTTCATTTTCTGATCTGAAGGATTTGTTCAGTGGATCAACGCACGGCAACAACCCCTTCCCTTAAACATTCTTGGAGATCTCGTTCAAATTTAGCTTATGAAAAGCAAAATAAACAACATCATTTGGGTACAAAAATAAAATCCAAATTAAAAACTTTTAACAGGACACCACCTGTTTGTTCTTCTTCCTTTTCTCTTCTCATACACAATAGCACAATACAAAGTCACTGGTCACAAAAGTACACCGCAATTAAGGAAAAAAACAAGGAGCCACATAGGAAAGAAACCGATCCCGGAGAAGTGTACATTATGTCTTCCTCAACCTTTCCTAGAGGCCTGTGAGTGACGAGACGCCTGCTTGGTTTTGTAGAGCTGGAAGCCTCAGGTGTCAGGTGGACAGAGTGGGTTTTCTCCGTCTTTAAAGTTGTCTTCATACACCCTCGGCTTTCCAAAAACGCAGCCCTACCAGACACGCACGTCCTTTACCCTCTTCTCTGAAATACAGACTGAAGGGAAAGGGAGGGAGGGAACGGAAATCCAAACCACTGCTCTAAACATCTACATGGATTCATCTGAGCGTGAATGTGTTAATGTGTGTGCGGTTTTCTCTCTCGACACGTATGTACTCGTTTGCTAACATATACAGTGTATTCCTGGTTAGGGTGTGAACCAGGGGCACTTTAAAAGTTGTGTAACATTCCCCCACCGTTTCCGCGCTCCGACCACTAGAGGTCACTCTTTATGTTTAGGATTGGGAGGTGGGAGATCTGCTCTTTCTTACAGCTCCGTTTTCACTCGCATTTCTCTTCTTCTTTTTTTTTTTGTCTTTTTTAAACTCCACTCTTTTAACTTTTCCACTCCTCTAAGCTTTTAACTCTTTCCTTCGATTCAGCTTTCTTTTGAGTTGGTTTTTGCCTTTGAAGACGCAGATACACACAGAGCAAAAGAGTGGGAGAGAGAGAGAGAGGGAGCGAGTGTTGTGATCGATCAGCTGTTCGCAGCGCCGACAGCTGCCCCTGTTTGAGCTCTCAGCCAATCTCCTTCCACTGCCGGTAGAAGTCCACGATGTTCTTCAGCTCCATGCCCGCCGAGCCCGCCGCCTGGATCGCCGACTGACGGCGGACAAAAAAAAAAAAAAAGACAGACATGACATTAGGGTTAGGTGATATTGAAACTCTCCTTTAACATTGTCGGCTTGTTTTTGATACAACAACAATGTGGTGAAGCACAGAGAAAACAAGAGAAAGAGAGACTAAAAATAGCACAACACAGGTGTTGCATAATTGAATATCCATCTGATATTGTGGACACGTGAGGACCATTACAGCGGCCAACCAAAAACGTGATTATGTCGTCATATCGCCCAAGCCTACATGCAATACATAAAAAACTTAATACAAGGCTTGTATGTATATTCCGTCATTACAGCTCACGCAAATGTCTTTCTAACACACCACTATTGAGAAGAAAGAAATAGGGATTCAAAATGTTTGTTTATTCGAATGGCTACAATGTCCAACAGCATCTTAACGCCCCCTCCCTAAATCAGCAGATGGCTGTGGGATCTGTATGAAAATGAAGAGGACAGCACTGGAGCAAAAACAGAGCAGAAACTGGACTAGTCCTGGTGCAAAATGTCGATTTCCAGAGTGACTGACCTTCATTGCTGCTGAGCGAGTGCAAAGCTCCTCCACCTGATGGTCAGTCAGAATGGTCACCATGCCGGCTGTGTCTTCATCTCCATTGCTCTGGGAGACGGTCAGCTGACGACAGCTGTCCACCATCTTGTATAAATGCCTTGAAATGAACAAAGAGAAGTCAGAGTCATCCACCCTGAACAAACAGAGGTAACTGTAGAGAGGGGAGCGAGGTTTACCAGGCTTCGATGTCCTGACGCTTCAGTTTATCTCTTTCAAAACTCCGACCAGACTCCTTCTGGCAGCGAATGTACCTACAGAAGGATGTGAAACAGAATATTTAAATAAACACAGTTTGATGGAGTAAAAGTGAGATTTGTGTTTGACAAGTACTACACAACAAAAAAAACTCTTTCACATCCAATCCTAGACAGCGAGAAGCTCCATCGGTCACCATACGCATGAAACCAACACCCACCTGTTGCCTTTGCGAAATTCAGACTCCAGAAAGCGGATGCCATCCCTCGCTCCGGCATTCTCCTTCTTCAACCTGTCAAGTCCATCAATCACTGCGACAGAAGAAGTAGGTCAGACTAAGTAGCCAAGCAAACAGTCACGTCAGCAGACAGGACATTTAAATATGAATCGCAAACCGACTTTGTGAAAAGATAAAGTCCAGCTGACTTCTTCAAATAACTTATTTCTGACCAAGTGCCCGAACGATTGCATGACAATGACAAAATCAGCAATATTTGTCATTTTGCATTGTTTGATAAATAATTAAAACAATGTATATTCAACATTACTGACGACTCAGTCGACTGCTTGATTAATGTACTAATTGTTTCAGAAAAAAAAAGTGTCTTCTATGTTTTGCATAGTTTCAAGCATCGATCAACAGCACAATACAATTATTAATGTACATTTAAGGGTAATGCAAGAGTGTTGAAGCCACTCCACTTATTAAAAGACTTTTGGACATGAAATGCATTTGATAATAAAATCCGATACTAAATGTTCAGAATTTCTACCCCTAATTTGCAATGAACTTGTGTTTAGCCATGTCTTTGTGTACATCAGGGCTTCTGCAGGGTTCCCAAACATAACTGTAAGACTTTTTAAGACCTTTTCAACGCCACATGAAATGCAGGTTTCATACCTGCATCATGATTATACCGTCCACAGTATGAAGGAAAATTAATATGGATGAAATGGCACCTTTTTCAGTACTTCCATGCAGGATGTTAAAAACATTCCTACCGATATAATTAACAATCTACATGACCTGGACCCGCATAAGTGGCAGAAAATGAACAGATGCATTGACCAATTTAAAAAAAGATAAATTAATTTAACTCTTTGCTAAAATCAGTGCACCGACCTGTCCGTGGGATGATGATGATGAAGCAGCCGCTGCTGGCCAGCTGCCGGATGAGGTTGAGATGCTGGCAGAGAGCAGCTGTGTCTGGCACCAGGTAGGGAGACATGGAGGACTGGGCCTTAGGCTGCTGAAGGCTGCCCTCTAGCTGCGACACCTCCAACTGCAGAACAAGAGGCCCAACAGCAGACCACGTGCTGTTACTGTAAGGTGTTCATTCACGGTCACAGAAATACAACACTACTATCTCAAGGTTCCTATACCGGTTGCACTACCTCCATCAGATGTGTTTTCAGACACAAACACAAGAAAATAAATGTTTTTTTCTCAAAAACACGCCCTGAGCGCTGCTCTTTTGCCAGTGATGACCGTATCAGCACACAGCTGTGTCCACGCTGCTCAGATTTCAAAGGGAAACACAGACGGGGTAAACAGCCAGTGATAAGATTAAACACCTGCAGTCGCAGCTGGGCCATATCCCTCATTAGGCGATTTCGACGAGCTTCCTCTTCAGCCTGGACAAATAAAGATAGACACACGAGAGTCAACAGCAAAAAGGGACAGCTGCTTTACTCACAGGTAACAAAAAAACAAAACATTATTCAACGTTATTTAGTTCAACCGTTACACAACATCGGCATTTTCCCCGTGTCAGCGGCACACAGAATAATGAGACTAGACTGAATGAGGCCCCCTGGTGGTTCTTCTTTCAACGTTGTTCTGTTCAGATGTCACTCACCATTCGGAACTGGGCCTTGGCCTGCTGCACCAGATTGTCCTGCTCGGATTGGCTGATGCTGGTGAAGATGCCCGCCTCCGGGTTGAAGTGCAGCACGTTGCCCTGGAGATTCGTCAGGAAGTGGCCAAAACTGCGAATGCAACACACTCGCACGACACACTGGAGGAAAGACAGAGCAGAACATGTCAAGAGGTTTTATATTATGTTTGATAATAACATATCATGTCGGGTAAATTAAACTTGAGGACTTTTACTCCAACTACATCTTGTCTTTAGTGAGTAATGAAGGGCACACAAGAGTCCTAATATGTTTCAGTGTCCTGGTAAAGATGGGATGATGACAGATGTACCGAGGCTTCCTTCTCCATGAGGTTTAACAAAAGTCAATTTGAGTAAATTTGGGAGAATTGGAACATGTACGTTTCTTAGAGACGCCCTTCTTTCATTTAAATTAGTTTCTTCCTTTCTTTCCTGATCTCATGTTCTGTTTCTGTCTTCTTCGAGTACATTGTAAATGCTGAAAGGATGTACTGTTCTGATAACAACACTGTTTTGATATTTGCAAACTTCCTGGCTCATAAAAAAAACTGGCAGAAAACACGATTCTACAACAATAAAGTTATTGGCATGGTGGAGCTGATGCCTTTTGGTGTTTATAACAAACACTGAACATCTGTAAAAGCTGACCCTGTGTGTGTGTGTGTGTGTGTGTGTGTGTGTGTGTGTGTACCTCCTGTAGAGAGCTGAGGGACGGGTTGCAGCGGGTAAAATCGAGGCGGCGGTGAGCTACGTTGAGAGCAGGCAGGTGTCGCAGAGCCAAATCTTCAGGCAGCAGCAGACTTTGGACCAAACCGGGCTGCTCGCACTCGTTTAACAGCTCCGTCACCTCGGCGTTCAGACCGAGCTCTGCGGCACACACACACACACACACAAATAAATAAATGAGCTGTAGACTCAGAGAGCACAGTCATTAAAAAAACAAAAAAAAAATCACACAGGAAGACCATTACTCAGCGTGAGAGCCGAGTATTCGCTCTCTATGTTTGTTAAGTGAGTGCTCGCAGTACAGGGATGGAACAAGAGCACGGGGATACGGACAAAATATATATCACAATGACCATAAACATTATACATTAAAACTATTTACTAACATAGAAAAACATCTTTAATAACCATTACATCAAACTGCATGGATAAAAGGCTTGCAACTGATACTTGCTTTTTACCGTAACTATACACATGTGTGTTATGATTTAATGACAAGATTCAAGTGAAATGGACCACACAGTAATATTGATATATCATAAGGAAATTTGATTGGACTGTTATTTGACAACCAGCAGGTGTGATCGCTCAGCATAAAGACTGTAAATAGAGGGAAACAGCTTCCCCGACTTTGTCTAATGTTTAAAAATAATTGCCAATCAGAATCTCTAAAGCTCAATATTTATTTAAAAGTTATATCTTGGTAGTTTAATAAGTTTAATAAGAGTGGGACCAATCCCTCTCAGCAAGAAAGCAAATACACGTAGTTCGTCGTACTACTCCTTTAAATGAGTGGTTTAGGTGATGTCTTCACTCTGTGTCTCAAAGGACATTTTAGTGTTGTTGTTCAAGTGGGGAAACAAAACATAGTTACTGTTGTGTCATCCGGTACCCACTGAGCTATAAAGCAGCATAAATCTTTAAGCAATAACTCACCAGCCTCGAGCATCTTGCTGCCATCTGGAAGCAGGTTGAGCAACACAGACAGTCGGTTCCACAGGCTTTGAGAACTCTGCAGAGAGAACCAGTTTGATAAATATGCTCCGAAAATGTCAGTGTTTCAAGAGACGAAGCGGGACGTTCAGCCCTCTCACCTGTGCACACATGATGATGATGTCGGTGTTTGTCCTCAGCCAATCAACAAAGACTTTCACCACCTGGATCAACCCCTGATTGGTCAGGATCTCCAGCTTCTCCAAGAGGGTTTTCTCACTATGTACCGATTGAGTACTGTGTTGGCTGCCTTCCGAATCAGAGTCCAAGTCTAGAAGAGGGGACAGAACAATAAAGCAAAAAGTTTGAGTAACAGTAGGGGGAAAAAAGCAACTAAAAGGACAGATTACATGAAAGTTGGAGGTAAAAAGCACATCACCATTGTCATTGGTTCCGTTGGCAGCACCGGGGTTCATATCGCAGGGTGAATCCCCAGGAGGAGGGGGTGTCTCTTGGGAGGGGGGGGCAGAGGCCTCGGTAGGGGTGGGAATACCCGGAGAAGACGAGGCCGGAGGCCTCAACAACATGTTGCTGAAGGTGGGCGCCAGGCGGAAGCAGCGCTTTGCCTGGAAGAGCTGCGAGGACATGGCCTGGAGGTTAGTGCTGATGCTGGAGTCGCTGGGCACCAGAGGCCCGTTAGTGGTGGGCGGTGTATCGCCGTCCCTCTCGCCTCCTTCTTCCTTGGGTTGGTCCTCATCTTCCTCTTCGTCTTGGGGCTCCCGTGCCTGACCCTCCAAGTTGTCAGAGTTTTCCGTGTCCTCTATGTCCTCCAGGTCTGAGCGAGACTCCTGGCTGTTCATGTCCGAGTCGGTCTCTACGTCAAACGCTGTTCCTCCTTCCTCCTCCTCTTCCTCTGATCCGCTCCCCCAGCTGCCCTCCTCACCCAGGGGTTCCCTCTTAGTCTCCTTCCTGAGAGCCGGCAGATTGACCGGGGTCCCCGTAGTGGTGGCACCTGTTGAGTCAGCGTGGCCCCTCCTCTCGTCAACGTCCTCCTCGTCCTCTTCGCTCTCGAAGCCTTCGCTCAGGTCGCTCTCGTCCTCTCCTCGAGTGTCCTTGCGTGCACAGCGGCGCCGGCGGAGTCTCGAGAGTCGGGTGTACTTCTTCTTCTGTCTCTGTTTCTCTTCCTCCAACTGGCGCTGTTCTTCCACACTGCACTGTTTTTTGGCGCCAACCCTTTCCCGGCCATCTTCATCCTTCTCCTCCTCATCTTCTTGCTCCAGGGAGCCATTCTGCAGAGGCTTCTCAACGGGGCGATCTGCCGCTGGAGCCGATAAGTCCCTCACCTCCGGGTCATCTAGATAAGAAAAGAAAGATTCACTGACTGTTTTGATTTTGTTCAGGTTGTTTGTCACAGGTGACTCTCTGAAATCCCTTACTTCTAACTACATATTACTCATTGAACGTTAAATTGCTCTTGACTTGTAAGAACTTCACACAAAGCTGATGTTCTCCCAAAAGATGTGATGTTAAACAAGAAGAGGCAGCTCTGTAATCCTAAAGGAGTATGCTAATGAGAATACATTGGGTTTGATGCATTTATCTGTGTGGATTGAACTAACTTGTAACTGCATTTGTGTTCCTTTCTCTCTCCATATATGGAGACAGAGATTTCCTCTCTCACCTGTGGCGTCAGTGTGAAGTGGAGGCACCTGGCTCTCCGCTTCCTCCAGTTCAGCCTGCAGACGGATGTTGACGTGGTTCACCAGATGGGAGAACAGCGCCAGAGTGAACGCTATGGACGCGCTGTACTGCTTTGATCCTAAAAGACACAATAAAACATTTATTAGTACAAACAAAAATCATTTACATTTTAAATGTGTACGTCTTTCGTTTTATACTTCAAGTTACAATCTCGAAGATCTCCGTTTCGTTATCTTTGGCGGCATCTATGGCAATAAACCACAGGTGTGTTTTTGGATTGTTTCTGACCCTTTGCCTTCTTCTGAATGTTGAATTTGTTTCTTTGGGTTTCCTCGTCTGTAGTCATCTCTCTTTTCTGTGATTGTTCGGCCACAGTAACGCCGCTTCACATACATGCGAGTTGAGGAGTGAGTCTGTCGCGTTAGCTCCGCCTACCCTCTCTGACGGACCAATCAGTGCTGGGTGATGGAGAACGCATCAATTACATGAACACTACTTGGTATTTTTCCCATGAATGTCGCCACAGGCACCCATTTGACATTTATATAAATGAAAATCTACAAAAGATTACTACTCATGAATTGCTATCACTCTCTGCAGATTTATGCATTTCGTTAAATGTCACGTTCGGGTCTGAATTTTAGTTTTGGAGTCAATCCACCACACAGATTATTTTATAATGGCAAGAAACAAGAACAGCTTAAATGGGTGTTTTGGACAGAATTGTGACTGAGTCTGGTTTGTGTTATCTTCTCCTTCCACTAATCATTGTGGTCCTCATGTCATCTAGATACACAAGCTCACTGAAGACGGTACTGAAATGGAAATGCAGCTTTTAAAATGAAAAACAGGCTCTGGCTGCACTCTTTGCACTTCCCTTGCACACTTGAATATTTGCAAATTTGCACTATTGTATGTTTACTTTGCAAAACAAATTTCCCTTAGTGGGACAGTAAAAATAACCTCAACGTTCATGTTTGCTCCCTACTGTAGTCCAGTTATATATTAGTCATCAAAATGTATTGAAACATTTTAGAAGACAAAATGATGAAGTACGCCCACAGCCTTAACACTAACCTCCCCTCTTCAGGCTGTGCACCACCATCAGACAAGTGACCACCATTTTGAAGACGAGGGTGTCGGGCAGCACGGGGCAGGAGCTGTCAGCATGCTGCGGCTGCTCCTCCTCTTCCTCGCTGGGGGAGTGGTGAGCACCGCCATGCGGTGGAGGCGGCAGGTAGAACAGCACCAGGTTGAAGTCCTCCAGCACCGACTGGCAAAGTGACGTCAGCTCCGTCTCCATTAGACTGCATAGAGACAGAGGAGGGGCAGCAACGAGAGGAAAAGGATGCACCACATTCTTTTGTTGAACCAGTTTGTGTGAAGATTTTAACAGGCAGCAAACACTGGACACTTCTAAACCAAATATTTGACTTTGATATCACTGATACAGGTAGGAGTTTCGATACATTGTCATTTGACAATAAGTAAACATACATAACAGACTGTGTACAGTCTTAACATACCAATACTAAAAATGCAGTAAAGCCAAAGGCTTGTTTCAACTGTGGACGGTTTCTCAAACAGCGGAGGACGAGCTCTCACCTGTTCTTGGGCTGCAGCAGGCTCTGAAGGTACATGAAGCTCACCAGGAGGTGCTTAATGTCTTTTAATCTGCACAAAAGAAAACAGCAAAATTATGGAAATCATAGATTACAGATATTTAGATTTTGTATGAACATTCTCAATCAAATTCAGCATTTTCTTTCCATTTAAGATTTTCATGTTTTAGAGGCACCTGTGCATGTAAAACAATGGAAACAGAGGTGTGTTGTTGTAAAGTGTTGGCGGTCTATCACTAACCCTTTCTGTTCTCAGAGACCCCTGAACAGATAAACAACGTACACTAGGCTAGCAAGAGGGTGAAATACACTTATTTGCTGAGAGTTGAATGAGCAGATCGATAGCACTCTCTTGTCTGAATGCTAAATATGAAGTTTGAGCCAGCAGCCTTTAGCATTAAAAGCAGCTAAGTTAAGTGTTATTAAAGTAAATGGAACAAAACAGTATTGTTTTCTGTCCAGGTGGCAAAAGAATGTCTTAATCTTATTAGCTCCATGTACAGTAGTAATCTAAGTAATCCCATAGTTAGCAAGCAACATGACTTGACCTTTATCTATCCTCTCTAAAACTTTCTGCTACACACCAGGCATCATCTCTTGAAACGTCTATTTTACTGGCTTCATTTTTGTGCATATTTGTCTTTTATTCCTTCTGATTTCTGATACTTTTGTTGCTTCAACAACATAATCTCCCCACAGGGATCCTCAATTATCTAATCCCATCCGCAGAGAGACGCTGAAAGCAAATCAAAAAGTTACTCTGGGATGTCGGCACAGTGAAGTCCAAATATTCTGTTTATATTTCAGACTTGTGTTTTTCCAGGCAAGCCAGAGAGAAACATGAAGACCACTGTTGTCCAAAGAGGGCTCCTGAGGCCTCGGGGGACTCACCTTTGGCGAGAAGGAGACAGCTTCTTCATTTCCTGCTTCTTCACCTGGTGGTACATCTTGGCAGCTTTGTCAAACAGGCGCTTCAGGTTGCCATAGGCACCCTCAAAGGGGGCGTCTGATTGGATGCTAGCACAGATTAAAAAAAAAAAATAAAAAAACATCTGTTAAGACTCTGAACTTATTGTGCTGTGGTTCAGTAGTTAACATCAAACATAACTGCACATAAACATTCCTCACCAGCGAAGGTAGTAGTAGGTTGCTTCAACATTGTAGAACTTGCTTCCTGCCAGTGTGCCCAGTTGGTTAAACGGCATTCCTGTAGACAGATGGATGAACAGACGGGTCAACAAGTTAAGTTTACCTTCATTTGTAGAGTTGACTGATGAGGACAGAGAATCATTACCTAAAGATCTGTCTAATAACTAATGGAGGAAGGAGCAACAAAATATTTCAACTGAAATTCACGAGTAAATCAGTAAACTTACTGAAACATAAAGCTCTGATCAATGTACAAATGTAAGCTATAAGTCCCTTTAAAGCACAGTACAACTACACACACACACACACAAAATCGGTGTGGAAGTTGGAAGTTTGTCTGAGTGAGAAATACAATACTCAGCCGAGACTCCAGATTACAAGTTACTGCTCCACAATGTGTCAACTAGTGAGCTTTAGAGGTGCTGATAGATTCTGTTACCTTTGGACAGAGCTAAGCTAGCCGTTTCCCCTAGTTTCCAGTCTTTAAGCTAAGCTAAGCGGCTGCTGGCTCAAACTTCATATCTAGCGTACAGATGTGAGAGCGGTATGAATCTAACTACCAGAGAGAAAGCCAAAAGGAGTATTTCTTAAAATGTTGAACTATTCCTTTAAGTACTGTTTGAACACATTTGCAATCTAAACATAATAATAACATCATGAGGAAAGTTAATATTTGTAAGCTTAATTCTTCAATTGCTTTCTTTTTCTATTGAACAATGGGATTTCATATGTTTCTTATTATTCTGGATACCAAAAGAATACCATCTGATGAAAGTGTTTTCCACAGCTTTTAAGAAACAAAGCATTGCTGCCACTCTTCCATTACATTCACTCACCCATGTGTGGCATGACAGACAGAGCCTGATGATAGAACCTTTCTGCCAGCTGCTCAGACTCCACTCCAGCAAGTTCATTCTGATAACGGGCTGCAGACGAAACATTCAAAGAACAGAGAAACGGTCATAATAAATGTCAACAAGATATAAAATGTTCACTGATTTTCTTTAATCTATCAAAAGCAAACCAAAAGTGCTGCAGACATTACTTCCTTTGCTTGATGATTTCAGCTTTTAATGTAAAATCAACCCAAATATCTCTGTGTCACATAAGTCTAAACCAACCGAACACCCTCCTGCCAATTATACTCAGTAGCTAAGCCAAATTTTCCCACGCTGAATGACGTACACATGCTGTCTCACACCTCTGCAAGCTGGGTAGAGAGATGAAATAATTGCACATTCTATTAACATGTTATTACCTAGATCTCCAAGGTAGACCAGACAGCGATGACAGGCCATCTGTGCCCACTCCATCTCCTTGGGGGTGGCTGACACCGGTTTCTTTCGGCCTGCGGGGAACAATTACACAATGTTCTGTGTTTCTTCATTTCAAGCATTTAGCTGATGCACTTACCCAAAATGACTTGGACTTATGTAACAAAAGAGCAAGTTTTAATCCGAGCACAGCAACAACTTGCAAAAAGCAAAGTCTGAATACTAGAGACAGCACCCAGATATAATTTCTCCATTAATGTCCACAGGTGCTTCTATATTTCAGTGGCAGAGAAGATTTATATTTCTTGAAAAGAAAAACGTTAACAGCTGGAGGACTGGATTACAGACTCTATGTACCCCTGGTATTTAGCCCCTGTTGTCTGAGTACCGGCTTCATAGTACTACACATAGTACTACATAGTACTATAACTTGGGTGACCCTGTACCTGTCACCTGTCTGCTTGTCTTCGCTGACAATACACTGACTTGGCACTTCTCCACCCATTTGTCTGCTCTGCATAGTGCAAGAGAACACCGACATCTGATACGGACTAAATTCAGACAATGTCACATAAACACTAAATGCAATGGTGTGATCTGTGTGATCTGTGTGTGTGTGAAAGTACATTTAAATTAGTGCGTTAACGCATTCATTAATTAACGCCGACAATTATATTATCGTGCGTTAACGCAGTTTATTTATTTATTATTAAGCCACATTTTTAACACAAGAACCAGGCAGCAAGCAGTGAACAGCTGTGTTTGTGTGGCGTCACTTCCTTCTCCCCCCCCCGGGTCCGTAACCCCTCCTACTCCGTCACCATCGTTCACTCTTGTCTCACAAACACAAACACAAACACACACACACACACACACACACACACGCACACGCACACGCACACGCACGAGCGTGATCGTCTCGTTACAGATCAAACGTGACTGTTGTGAAGTGGAGCTTCTAGTGAGGACCAAGACACGTCTTGTTTGAACGGAACACTTTAATGTCTGAACTGCAGTATTACAGTGTTACAGTGAACACAACGCGCTCTTGCACCCGACATATGGTTTTCTACTTATCATCAATATTGTTAGCGTCACGAACACGTACCATTCTACTTCCTGTCTCTTCAAAGTAAAAGCACTTCCGTTTTCATGTTCTTCACAATAAAAGTAAATCATGCAATCAAACAATTTACAAAAGTAAATACATATTGTCGAGTTTTTAAAGTGTTTTGTTTGTAATATGTATAATAAGCATCATTTAGTTATCACTACTGAGAATTAACAAAAAAAAAAAAAAAGAAGTAGATAGGTTTGCAGTTTTCAAGGTGTATATTTCAAATTACATCTCTTACACACATGGAAATAAAGTTATGAACACCAGCTGAATATCTATGATCAGAATCTTTATAACTGTGTTGTAACTGCTACTGTGTAAAGGGAATACTGCTGTTAAAAATAACCTAATTTGTTTAAAGTGTTTGCAAACCAAATGTTATTGCCCTTTTGTTCATATAGCAGTACTGTTAAAATAAAAGTGCGCAATACACTACTTTTGAATTCATTATTGAATTTTGCCATAACAAGGCGATTAATCACGATTAATCGCAAAGAATCCATGCGATTAATCGCGATTAAATATTTTAATCGTTGCCCAGCACTAATTTTAATACAACCTGTACATGACATTCAACTTTCCAGTGGAGGCTTTCAGAGAGTTTGAATATTACACAAGTTACAAAACCCTCACTACACCACGCTGAATGGGATTTACCTATTTCATGAGGAAAGCTAATCTGACTGTTGCAAAAATGGCAAAATAAAAAGCTATGCGTTTGTGGTTTTAGGTTAATGTCTCACTGTAATAGAGTGCATTCAAAACTAAAAACAGTGAAAATTATCTTTGACATCATACCAGCACCATTACTACAGTGTTAATGTCTATATGCGAGAAACTTCCTGTTTCTGTTTCAAAATAAAAGCCCTCTAGCATCTTTATGTGGACAAAATCCTTTCATTTGGTAACACAGGGCTTTTATTCTGAAATATTTGCAGGGCAGTGTTGTGGAAAATGCAGTGACTTAGGTGGCTCCAAAATGAATGTAGTACCGGCTCTTAATTGTGGATTGTTATCATTTACACGTACACACTTCAATCTAAAATAAATATAAATGACGTTTATAATGAAATTAAAAGAAACATTCTGGCCATTATGAAAGGCAAACTATGTCGAAAGAAGGGATGTCAGCAGCAGCAACCTTGTTTGTGTGGACACCATACGAGAGAGAAGCTGCCGCTGAGCAAGGCAGCCACCACACGCCGTGTGGCGCAGCCGTTGTAGTAAGAAAAGGACCGGTAAACGATAGCTCTGTTCCTCTACTCTAGTGTTCCAGTAAGCCATCAAAGTGAACCAGCATGCACATTACCGAGATCTTCAAACCGGAGCAGCTAAATAGAATTCAGCCTTTATTAGTTTTATTGTTCACACCTATGCTTTTTTCAATGAAGAAACTGTTTAAATGTGGACAACATATTTACAAGCATTTACATGTGAAGGTTCCACGTCCCTCATTTAGTCTGAGCTTTGAATGTTCCGTGTGTGTGTGTTTCTGGTGTCTGACCTATCAGTGGGTCTGTGACGTGGGTCCAGTCGATGCAGTCCTGCAGCTCCAGCTGGTAATGGGACTGGATGTACAGCAGCAGGTGCTGGTAGAAACCCACGCCGGCGATCAGGTGTGTGCGGTAGGCGCACTCCAGAGCGCTGCGACTGTGGATGTGCTACAGACGAGGAAGAGAGAGAGAGGAGCTGACACATCAGAGGTGTGTGAGCCAGACCATCCACATCGCAGACATACTGTAGCTTACAAGGACAATCAAAAAGGCAAAAAGGCATGAAACACTCAAATATATTGTGCATGTATAAAAACGACAAGCAATGGGGAAACGTTTAATGCAAAGGAATGTGGTTGGGAAATAAAACCACTGTGAAATAAAAAGATATATAAATACAAACTGGCAAACTAATGAGTATTATGAGGTTAGTTTCACTTAAGTAACTATAACATCATCTGACTCACAATAAACAGCTTAAATAAGAATAAAAAAATGTATGCAGCACAGCCAGATACATCGTCTTTTTGTACCAGTATTCCTCCTTTTCACAGCATGACGCCTACATTACCTGCAATTCAACACTAACGATGACAGTTTGTCGGTAGATTCTGTTACACGAGCAGAGGCTCACGTAGCCTGAAGCTGCTTCCCTAAAGCAGAGATGAGTAACGGGATACAAGGCTCTGATAAACTCAATTCTTTCTACTTCCACACCGCCAGAACTTTTTTCATTCACAAAACTTGTAGTCAACTGACATCACATGAGTACGTTTATCTGATTTTGCCTTTAGTGGAAGACAGTATATCCAGCCAGCTAACATCAGCTAAACTGGTTGGCTAACACATGCAAAGAGGTTTTAGTTTTGCTGCAGGGCCACTGACCTTCTTGTTGGTCTTGATAACCTGGATGACCTCATAGTAAACCTTCCTCCAGAGGAGCTCCTCAGCCTTACGGCCGTAGTCGACAGGGTGGAGAAACATCAGCTTCACACAAAGCTCCCTCAGCCTGAAAGAAACAGCAGACACACACGTGCACAAGTTAAGGAGGTAGTTGGGTCACCGGTTTGACAGGTGAACTAATGAGTCAGCATAGTTTTCACATGAACAGGTGAGGCCACGCAGAACAGAAACACCTTGCAGGGTACAAACGTCAATGGTGGGTACTGTTTCATGATCGAGAAAAAGACCTGCAGATTAAGCAATAGTAAAAAAAATATCATGAGTCGCATGATCCCTACATCAACAGCAAATGATGATAATAAGTGTGCCTTTCCCTGCTGTGACTCACACGATCTGTGTAAACTCATTCAGAAGTCAGAGTTGTTCCAGAATATTGTGAAATATCAGTCCCCAATTTGTGTGTGCCGGCAATGGCAAGATTATGTAAATACATTTAGGCAAGAACACGCAGTTTTTCTCATTATCTCCTCTTTGACGAGACGCTTGGTTCTCCTCTTCTCCGACGCCAAAGAGTATAATATAATACTGAACAAAAACACGAGCCTCACTTTGCACAGACGTGCCAAATAATCCCATTTGCAAGTGAAGTGCAATATATGACCACGGCGCTTACATTAAATGATGTCCTGTAGGGACTGATACCTTTAAATGCATGTGTAAAAATCATCCCTAAATGTGTGCAAATGAATCACTCGTGCCACATTCAGGCGTGGTCATGGATGCATGTTCCCTTACATAATCTTCAGTTACAATCTGGAATTGGTCCAAGTTTGGCATCTTTACTTGAAAAACGACTCACACAATTACCTTATTATCAAAATAGTTGACAATTATTTCTTTTATCTAATTGCTTAAGCTTTACATGCAACTTCCTGACCACAATGAAACCCCGTCTAGTCAATTTATCAGAGTGCATGTTGGTTCCCAAAGCAGTCACTGAGCGAATAAATACACCATCTGCTCACCATCTGTGGAGACACTCCACCATCAACTATCTTTGTCACATTTACTTCTCACTTTTCACAATTGCAGCGATCACAATTTCTCACAGATAGAATCAAATGATTCAATGAAACATACAATGAAACATAAGTAGTCAGTTTGGATACATCATACATTTTTTTATTGCTAAGTGTGAACTGCATTTGAATAGAATTTGGATGTAAAATACCAAGTCTGACCGGGGTCTCCAAAGCTCTCAGAGATGCTCTGGGGTGCAGTCAATCTCAGCATAATAGAGAGGTGGTTATATCAGCTAAATGAACTGGAGGTGGGCCACAGGAAGATGCATAATGCTCGGTGCGACTGGCCAGATGTTTAAGTTACACTCCTGCCTCCTTTCACACACTCTCTCTCTCTCACTCACACACACACACACACACACGCACACGCACACTGCTGAAACAGCTGGACATACTTGTTGCGAAGGCTGATGTTCTCCGGCTTGAAGACCTCTCTGTAGGATGCTTTGCCGCCGATGATGACATCTAGCTTGTGCACAGACTCCACCACGGCCCTGGGTGTCGTTGGGCAAATAGGAAGCATGAGTTAACATAACGACAAGGTTGTAACGCTGTGATCTAAACAATACTGCGGGGTATCATGCTAACGACCATCCTGTCTGTACAAAGCACAAGCTTTACACAAAGCAAGATGACTGCCTGATGAGATGTATCTGATGCTACACTGACTGAGTGTGCGGGGGATGTTGGGCTACTCACTGTCGTGACAGGTGGCTGAATGGAAGAATAGACAGACCCTTTCTTGTGGTAGCAAGCATTGATTGGCTAGCGCTAAGTTAGCCAGCACAATAACGTTCAATTAGCAATCATAGTTAGCGTTAGCTACGCAAAAAAACGGCCTCGCAAACTTACCTGTAAAGCCGCTTGATGAGAAGGACTTTCGCCTCTGGCTCACTGTCCTGCACCGGTCCACTCATTTTTGCGACTCGCAAGTCGTTTGATCACACGCTCCCGCGTTTGCTCGCCGCTTCCTTCAACCCTCCCGACACGCAGTTGTCAGGGCTACTCGGGTTTGTTCCCCCGGCAGTGACAACCGTGTTGATAGCCCAGCTAGCGTTAGCTATCAAGATAGCGTTAGCTTTCCTCACTTTCCCTCCGAGTCTCTTTCGTTTCTTGTGTCCTTTGGCAAGACCCCTTCTACCCATTCGTTCTGAAAACCGGGTAGGAGGAGGTGCCCGGTGATTTAGGCTCTTCCTGGTCAGCTAAAACGGTCCGACATGCCTCTTGTGTTGTTCTCCTTTCCAGCCATTGCTACGAAGGCGGCCATTATTCCTATCAGGCACCGACCGCCTGAATATCGCGAGAGTACGGAACGAAGTCAACAGAAAATCAGGGGTTGCCAGGTTGTCTAGAGATCCCCCATTTTCGACAATCTTGAAATCTTGAAAAACACCTTTGCCACTGGAAATGAGAAATTAGAAGATAATATATTTCGGCTGTAGTGGAATAAGTATTCAGATATTTTACTTAAGTAAAAGTAGCAAAACTGCAGTCCCAAAAAACTACAAGTAAAAGTCCTTTATTAAAAAAATGTACTAAAGTACCATCAAATGTACAATACCAAAGGTAGAAGTGCATTGTACTCAATGTGCAGAATGACCTATTATACGTACATATTACATCACTGGATTATAATTATGGATGAATGAATATGTACATGCAGCTGGTAAAGATGTGGTTTATTTACATTACTTTACATTGTGATGGGGAACCTATAATAATATATCATAATTTGTTAGTTGATTTGTATTTCGTGTTAATAATCTAAATCGTCAAAGTAACAAGTAATTATTTGTCCCCAACATGTAGTGGATTAAAGGATTAAAATAGCCGAACATCGGGACTAATAAAGGATTATCGTATTTTATCTTATCTTAATAAAGTACAAATACCTAAAAACTGGATTTCAGAGAAACATCAAGTGGTTAAGTGTTGAGGTACATTTAGTTAACTTAAGTTTACTTGAGTATTTCAATTTTATGCTATTTCATACTTCCACTCTACTACAATTAAGAGGGAAATATGGTACATTTTACTCCACTGCAATTATCTGACATATATAACAAAATGTGCTCCTCCTCCACCAGCTGCTTATGTGTCAAAGCATCACTAATAATATTCCAATAATATAACTCTCTGAAAATGATCATTCTTCAAGAAACAACAACCTTTAATGCTTTCTGTACATTTTGCAGTAAATACTTTTGTACTTTTACTCAAGTGAAATCTTGAACTTGTATATATATTTGTATGTATAAGATAATGACTCTATATTTGTATCGCAAAAACAACAGTCTTTCCAGCTTTTTGCATTCACATTTCCATCATTTGCATGCCCTTTTTCCTTACAGGGGACATGGGGTTGTGAAAGAAATGTGAAACATGGCATAGTGATCATGGTCAGTGTAAACTCTGTTGTTGTAATTCCTCCTGGCTACCAATAGAGGTCTATCAAGATCACATTTTATTTTACATTCTTTTCAAAGAAATAGCATTTTGAGAGACGCTTTCTTCCTAAATATAACACCTTTTTGTGTATTTCCTGACTGTCCAAACAGATTATTGTTATGACAGATGATGATGGAAGTTAATGGGGCATCACTTAGGGAGAAAAATGTAGTTTTATCAAGGTGCTGGTTCACTATCTCACGGTTTTGTTTGTTGTAATTATGTATGCGCGCAATGATGTTGTAAACGTGACGTCACTTTGAAACTCTCGAAAAATGCACAATGTTTGGCATGTTATTACCTATGTGTACATGAAAAATGAAAACCTTACTAGCCATTTCATCATGACATGAATATTCTCCAGAGTTTAACCTGGCAGAATGATTACATGAATGTATGTGAAGCAGGTTGAGGTATCTCGTGTCTCTTTTGTTTACACAGCATGTCTTGCTCCTCCATTGTGCTAATTTCTTTTCTTCTTGCTCTGTCCAAACTCAGAAGTAGCCAACCCTCAAAGGAACTGCAGGCGATTAAATGTAGGAGGATGAGGATAATTACAAGCTTGCTATATTCAGTCCAGTCCCCAGCTCCCAGATCTTGCCTGCCGTCCTCGCTCTCAGCAGCTCAGCAGAGGAGAGTGTGAGGAAATGATCTGCTCTGCTCACCAAGAGAAGAATCACAGTCCATAGAGCTAGCACCATGTGCAACCACAAGCTTATAAGTCCAGAAGATGAATCTATATTGTAAACAGTGGAAAAAAGGTTAAATAATCAAAGCAGATCAATGACCTAACCCTGATTTCAGCTAGTATTCAGATATTAAGTGTAGAATTTATGACTTGAGGATTGAGTTTCTTTACAATTCATAACCTTGTTGACAGTCTTACAGTCTTACAGTTTGGTGTAGCTCTGAAACAATGAGTTGATTCATCGATAAGGTCATTAGTTAACCGACAACAATTTTTGATAATCAATGAGTCTTTTTAATCATTTATGAAGCAAAAATGCCAAACAGTTGCTGCTACTAGCTTCTCTAAACAGAAGATGGTCTGCTTCTTTTCATTTCATATGATTGTAAATGAAATATTTCAGGATTTTGGACCATTTATCAGATAAAATCAACAATTTAAAGATTTTGTTTTCGGCTCTGGGGAATTTTGTATTATTATATAGATTATATTACTATTTAATCTGGAACCTAATCGGCAGATTCATTGTTTATGTTAGTTGTGGGCTTAGAATTGACCAAAAACTACGACTGGAAAAAAGTATGTTTCCTGATTTTCTATATATTTTGACAAAGATACACTTTCATCTTAAAAAAAGGCTCAGTGATTTCCAAAAACAGTTTTTAGCAAATGTTACTCAAACAGGAGAGGTCGTGCATTTGCTGGGGACTATTTTCAGCAGTGAATTAATACACATTAGTAAGTGATTATTTACTGCCGCAGGACGGTGAATGTGGGATCGTTTCAAGATAAGCTACATTGACCGTATTCATGGTAATGAAGGTACATGTCAGCCAGTGCAACAGTGTGGCTCATTAATGTGTTTTTAATAGTTTTGGGAAAACAATAGTGTTCTTGATAAAAAAAATAAATAGACCATGACGGACACTTTGACAAGTCCAAGTTAGTGCATTAAGAAACAGAACACACATTTCCACAGCAGATTAAGAATTTAATTATTTGTTTATTTATTTATTTATTTACGTATTTCTATCTCCAGATTCACCCACCCGAAAAATATAAATTCCGGTGTATTCCAAAAGAAAATGAAAAAAAAAGGGAACAATGGCATCTTCATCAAAGGAATTAATCAACAAAATCAAAGTGGCAATAATTATTATCATTATTACAATAATAATTCAATGATCAGAATATCCACATTCATAACAACTCCATATACAACTGCAATACACTCTTCAACACCACTCTTCCATTAATATACACAAAATCCCCAAATGTCTGTCCTGTCAAAACAACGATAGAGGAGTTTTGGGGAGGGGGGGCTATGGCTTGTCAAGGGGTATGAAGATGAGTGACCAGAGGAGTTAATGGATCTAAGGTTAGTAAGAGTATAAGGGGGGAGGCACACTTATTTAGTAAGGACCTATACAAAAACAAGCAATGTTAAGTAATGACAGTATACTTTCACGGAAGGATTTGCCAGTCTAACCGCATCTTAACAAAAGGTTAGAAGGCTCCATGAGAGGCAGAATTTGGGGAACAAAATTTCAAGAAATATATAAGGGTTGTCGGAATAAATATATAACTCTGAATGACAACCGTTGCAAACATATACCATAGGAACCTAAAGTGAAAGTCAGATACGCAAGAAACTCAAAACAGGTCGAGAATCTTTTAAAGAAATGCAGATGGAGGTTTCTGGAAAAAAAATTGTCTTAGTCTATATATGTACAAACATTGCTTGGTCACCCAAATGTACTGTAGAAAAGCTTTTGAGTTGGTCAGAAAATGAGTGCAAGCTTAAGATTATGTGAGTTACTTCTTGTATGAGAGCTTCAAGAATGCAGCGATACGTGACAGACCTTGCTGATATTCTAAGTCTGTACACAAAGTGCCTCTGATAGCTCGGTACATTTAAAAACCTTTCCATGCCTCAGTATTGGTAACTTGAGAAGACCTATTCATAGAAAGAGAGAGAAACGTTAGAGGAAAAATAACTGTACACTCTGCATGTACAAACAAACTGTATATACACATAGACATACCATATATACACATTTATCCAGTATGTACACAAACCGGTACACACACTTATATACAAACACATTCACTCGTTTCAGCAGGACCTCTAACATATCTCTCTCTGTCATCATCTCAGTCATCAAGAAAATGGCGGGGATTTCAACTCAGACTGGCGTCAGTGGGGTCCATCCATTGAAATGAATGGGGAGTTTTACAGCAAATTGACTGCAAAAAAAAAAGTGGCCACACTGAAACCAAGAGTTCATCCTCCGCTCGCTTAAAACTCTACAGACAGGTAGTCGAAAGTGGAGTATACAAAACAATAGCTGTAAGGATGTCCTCATCCAAAGGCTGTCACATCGTCCGCAAATGGAGAGCTCCATGGCGATTGTTGGGCGAGAAACATCCATCCAATTTTTTTTGTTTTGAATGATTATAACCAAGAGGAAGGGGTGTGTGTGTGTGTGTGTGTGTGTGTGGGGGGGGGGGGGCACAGGTCACAGCAACGTGCAAACTGCTGTAAGGGGAGTAGGTAAAACACAAGTTTGTCCCTTTCATCACAGTCCTTTAGGGCAACGATTCTCTCCACAAGATTGTCTGAGTAAGAAAACTTGGTTCATATAAAATGGATTATTGATGAACTTCCATAAGATAGAGGCATCTATCTATATCAAGAAATAAATATCTGCTCCGGAAGATTTCTGATGAAGAGTTTTTTTTATACTATCGTAAGAATAAGCAGTATCATAGAAATATAAATAATAACATTCTGTCAGGTTTTTCAAAGTCTTCATTGAAGCAAGAGTTTTGTTCTGAAGCAGTTTCACTTGTTGTTTTAGGCTGTGCATATTTAGTTTCCTTTAAATTCAAAGTCTGAAAGAGATTCAAAAGGAAGGACTAAAACTATGAAACGAGAAAGAGATCAAGTGTGTCTAAATTTGAGTAAAAATTAAGTGGTTAAATAATGCTTTGAGAATCCTAGATAGATAAAGAGTGAGTAGATGAGGAGGAATCAAAGGGTAATTTAAAAAGACTATAAGAGAGAGAGAGAAAGAGAGAGAGAGAAGAAGGGAAATAAATGCTCTGAAAGTAAATCAGCTTTGACTGAAATTTTAAGAGAAGTCAAGCACCTTTGAAATTCATCTTACCCACAATACACCTCCCCTCTCTCTCATATTGGGCATCACGCCTTCCTTGGCCTTTGTGTCCCTCCGTTCTGCTGATTGATCAGACTGCATAGCTGTTCTTTGCATGCTCGGCAGGCTAACAAACGCCAATATGTGTCCAGCCTACCTTTTAAAAGTAAAATGTAGATCCAACAACGAGGCGTCAAACACATAACAAAAAAAAACTCAAATCAGAGAGAGAGGGCCCAAGTAAAGTTAAAAAAAAAAAAAAAAAAAAAAAAAAAAAAAACACAACCCAGCATTTCCTTACATGGTCCGCTGGGGCTCTGCACCATCCTTTGAGCAAAGAGAATGGGACCAATGCCCCAAGTTCTCCCTTTGTCAGCCAATCGCGTCACGAGAGAGGGCTCTGGACATTTGGCTGTGCCAGCCTGCGGACTGCCGATGGTGCATCAGCCAATTACGTTCCACATTGTCCTCCATGAAGCTTTGAGAGTGGCTAGGGGGAGAAAAAAAGGGGAGACAGAGAGAGAGAAGAAACGGGGGAGGGTGCTTGATCAGGTGCTATTGAAGCATAGCTTGAGACTGAGTATCTGCACGGTCTTTCCAAAGCTGGACTCATCTCTTTTCTATAGGTTTTTTTTGTGTGTGTGTGTGTGTTCAGCTCTGAGGCAACTGCTTGTTTACCTGAGTCACTGAGGTATTTTCACAGCAATATTAATTTCTCAATCACGAATCATCTCACATCTCTGAAAAGACACTGATGTTCAAACCTAGACCGCTTTTTAGATCCGACATTCTTCACACACAAGTAATTTCACAAGAAAAAAAGTAGCCCTACAAGCTGCCTAAATAGAAGACAATCTCTCCCTGCGTAAGACTGCTTGCATTATTAACATTTGGTGGTTTGACAGTTAAACATTCATTGATAGTATGACTCTAAGCTAATCCTGTAGCACTCGTCTACAAAGTGCTAATGTTTGATCTTTGACACTGCAGATTAAGTGATTGGTTCACACTAAATAGAAAAATGGCTGAAACGAAGCTGATGTGAAATCCTCTTGGTTCAACCTGCATGTTTTAACAAGCTTGAGTTGTTTCAGAGCGACACCCGTGTGTGTGGGGCTACAGAGACGAAAAAACAAGTTCACATCCAGACAAACCGTACAACAGACAGTTCATACACAAGATGAAGGAATATGGAAACACATTACAAACATTTCAAAGACTCGTGTTTTCAGCATTTGACAAATGAGAAACTGAAGAGTTCATTTCAAAAACACATCACACAGTATTTCTAACACGTACCGTGAATCAAGCGGTTTCCTCTTTTAATTTGTTTTAATGCTATTTCAGAAGTAGATGCCAGCCTTTTCCTTTTGACAAGAAACTTCAAATTATGAAAACTACAGTGTGTCATTCGAGATTTTCATTAGGGGTGCGATATATTCTTATTGTCTCGAGCAAGGCATTAAAATGTGCATTTGGTCTATGACTAGCAAGTCTACAGGCCTAAGGATGCTCAATATATTGATCCCAGGCACTTAATGGCAGGCAAACCTAAGCAGTTTCACACATACAATGACCCTTGATATCATGTCACACTGGCAATGTTTACCGTAGTAAAATGTGACCTAAACTTAAAACATAAAGGGCCAATCACAAATGTGTCATTAGTATTTGTACGCACGTACAACATTAGTTTGGTGAAAATCGTAAGTTAAAACTGCTTTTTTTTGTTTTTTTAACCAAAAAAAGAAATCAGAATAAAAAGTAAAAATGGCACCTTTTATCTCCTGTGAAACAAAAATGGACCGACACTTTTAGCTGTAAAAAATACCCTCCATACATCCATTTCATTCAAAGTAGCTTCAGTCAATGTTAAAGTTATTAGTTCTCTGTTTAAACAGAAATTAACACTTCGGGGCTTCGTCTGAACAAATTTGAAATATCCGGTTCAATAGATGATCCATCAATTTTTGAGTTGGGGAGCTGCTTTTATTAAGTGTTAGTAAAACCAGAGATTGGAGGAGGGCGCTTCTAAAACACAGATATGGAAACCCCAACAACCCTGTTGGACATAAGAACACAACAGGATGCACAAAGAACAAAGACACAGACACGTAGAAAACATAATGGGGGAACACGAAGTCCTGTCAAAGACAAATTGCAGGAGAGAGAAAGAGAGAAGAGACAGTGAGTGAATCATGAAAGAGGCAGTGCTATGGCAGACACAGACATTTGACTTGGAAAATGGCACCATTTGTTTCTGTTTAGCACCAGTTTTATCACAGATCGGTTCTGAGATTGAGAAGAGAAAAATTGCACGAGCTCAGTCCAAAAACAAGAAGTCCCTTAGATTGAAAAAAAAAAAGGAAAAAGTTCCCAAAAATGTCTTCCGTCATATCAAACCTCTACGACGCTTGATCGTGTGTCTTTGAATCTCTGTTTCCAGCCCACAGATCATTTCTCTTACTAGCAAAGCTAACTTAGATCTCCATCTGTTACTCTCGTATCAGATCTCTGTAGGAAAACCCTGTTGAAAAACACTCAAAGGCACTAAGAAAGCCAGACTACGTCACCACATCTCTACCTAGACAAGTTGCAGCCTGGCGTGTTCCGAATAGGTATATTTAATGCACCTACATCCATGGGAGTCAAGGGTCACTACAAGCTAGCTTATAGCACTTGCTAATGGCTACTATGAAGTCTTTGGGGTGCAAGACATTCTATAGTGCTTGTTTATG